GTATTACTAAGACACCTTTAAAGAGGCCTGTATTTACTTTGAATCCTGCTTATACATGGTAGAATGTATTTCTATTATCAGTTATAAAAAGTGAAATTGAGGGGTTGTTTTGTTTTGCTTTCCTCTTTGGTAGTAAGAGTTTGAGCAGATTTTGTTTTTTGTCTTCTTTTTTTGTCCTTTAGAAATTGGAGATATTGCTGGTGTTGCTGATGTTACAATCAGACAGTCCTACAGACTGATCTACCCTCGGGCTCCAGATCTCTTCCCTTCGGACTTCAAGTTTGACACCCCAGTGGACAAATTACCCCAGCTCTAAGCTGAGGCAACTAAGTGTCACACTCTCATGTACATGGAACTTTATACATAGCTTACATTGTGCTGGTTGAGCCTTTAATAAGATGGTACGCATTCCAGACTAAATATTATTTAGCATTCTGTATGTATATATTAGTGCAACATATTTAATGATTTAAATTTCTTACTGAATCTGCTTTCTTTTTTAGTGATTAGGAAACAGTATTTTGGAAGATACTAAATATGTAATTCTCAAATAAAACATTTTTCAAAACTAAAGTTTTTGTTATAGTAATATGAAATTTATAATTATAAATCATGTACATTATTATAGGTGATAGAGAGAGCCTGTTTCCGATCATTTTTGTATTTAGGTTCTTCAATTTAATAAAGTCGCAGAAATAGCAAAGGCTTGAGAACCATTGTTAACATCTATTTTGTAACATGAATATGCAAACCACAGGCACACATCAGAGGCTGTGTGTGAGAAGTGAGGGGCTGGGCCTTGAAAAGCATTAGGTGTTGAGGCAGGAACAGCTTGTCTCAGTTCAGAGATGACTGCAATCTGCCACCAAAACTAGCCCTTACAAGTGTGGCTTTGGCAATTAGTATAGGTCAGTCCTCAGGAAAGTTCCGAAAATAGAACCCCAGTAAGTTGTCTAGACTTAGGTCACTTTTGTTTCCTTAAGCTGTTTTGCCAGTTGATAATTAGTGAGCTTAGCATAGGCCACTTTTCATGCAGGTAAAGCAAATCCATTCTGTGCATGTTAGCATAGAATGCCTTAAAACATCCACTGGGAGCTACCTTTGTTGATAGTCTGTTATTACTGAATTCAAGTGCTAGGTTGTCAGTTTCATAGACTCTTTCAGTACTGGTCTTCCAGGGAATCCTCCGCTCAAACATTTATAACCAGCTGAAAGTCTTTATTCCATCAGGCTGAAACTACACTCAGGTATTCAGGGGCCCAGGTGACCAGAGCATGGGGTTCTGAAGGCAGAAACCAGGCCTGGCATCTCGATCAGCAGCTGCAGGTGGGAGGAGGTGGATTAGAATAAGCAAGCAGTTTGGCAGAAGCTAAGAGCAGAGCTTAACTGGAGAGGGTTCTGCACACACAGGCAGTTTTAACAGAAATTAAATTAGCAAGGTCATCTAAACCTTGGATGCCTAGAATAATCTGATAATTTGCCATGGGATTCTCCATCAAGGAACGCAAATGCTAGTTGAGTTATTTTGCTCAGCAAAAATACAAGATGGAGGAACCTCTCCACTGTCTTGTCCGGTCACATTGGTCCTCCCCCACTTCTTATGTTAGAGAAGCCTCTAGAAATGAAAAGATCTATCCGCATTCACTTAGTAGCTGAGGTGGGACTGGGGTCTCTTGATAGAAGCTTCTTCCCATGAAGCCAGACCACAGAAGTTTGTCTCAGGACTGAGGTCAGCTGTATTGTTCAAGTTGAATTCTATTAAAGAAAATATCTAGAAGCAAAATGTACATAGAACTTCTTACAAAAAAGCTTTTGAGTGTAGTTCTCGACAGGCGGTGGTGCACACCTTTAATCCTAGCACTCTGGAGGTAAAAGCAGGTGGATCTCTTGAGTTGGAGGCCAGCCTGGTGTAGTGGGACAGGGCTAGCTACATAGAGAAACCCTGTCTTGGAAAAAAAAAAAAAAAAAAAGTCAATTCTTTTTGGGGGATTGGAGAAAAGGAGTAAAACCCTTGTCACACAGACTGAGTTTTATGCTACAGAACACATTTGAAAGCTGGGTGAGTGTGAGAGCCCACCTGGAACTCCCAAGAGCAAGTTGGCTAAGCAGAGTAGTAGAAACAGATGAGCTCTGCGTTGTCGGGAGTGGGTTAGAGCTACCTGAGGTCAACCTTGAGCCTCTACATGCATGTCCATGCATTCCTGCACACATGGGAGCACAAATGTGTGTGCATATCACACGCATGCAAATAAAGTAACTTTTAAATCAGCCTAGTGACAAAGAATAATGAGAAATTGCTATTAGCTATTCTTCCAAGCTAAAAGTGCCTGCAATCCGATGCCTCTTGACAGTAAGCCTTTGTGTTCACAGCAGTAAATGTACTCTACCTATGGCTGTTTTGGGGTCCTGAGCTCATTTTTTTTTTTAACCACAGGTGTGAGATTTACTTTAATTATCAAGATGAACAGCTGAAAGGGTCAGCCCAGTACCCATCTGGTCTTAATCCAGGCAAAAGGCTTCTATGCCCCATGCTAATATTTCCAATTGTCAGTGGCCCTTTTCCTGATGCTGGATTTTAGTCTCATCAACCAATTGTTTAGCTACTAACAATTCCCCTACCCCTTCATGACATCAGTATGCTTTCCTCACCCCCAGATACCCATACATACATATGCCTCAGGATATCAGAATTCCATGGCATCACAGTAAGAGCATTATCAGTTCATCTCCAGGTCAGAGACACCCCAGTGTCTTTCACACACGTCCCTCACTACCCTTTCACTGTCTGAGGTTGGGACTAGTTTTGACAGAAAAATGAAAGTATGAGTTTGAGAGGAAAAAAGTCATTCCCTCACACACCAATCGTGTGTGTACATGTCTGCAGGGTATGTGTGAGGGAGTGTTTCCCTATATAACGAGCAATACCTAAACAGACCTTACTCAGGAATGATCTCCAGTACTACCTACCTGGATGTAGTGTCTGATTCCACAGGCTCAGATGCAAATCGCAGACAGCAGTCTGCTACCCATGATGTCGCTGACTGAAAATTGAAGCTCTCACTTTAATTTCATTAATGTGTTACAGCAGAGCCCAAGGGGACATGTCAACCAGTGTGTTACTTATAATAAAAGGACACAGTTGAACAGCCTGATGGTCAAGGCATATGCTAAGGGCAGAACTCAGAGACCCTCCTTGGGCACTCCATCTTCCAGGAAGCTTCACACCGTCAGCTACCAGGAAGTTCTAACTGCTCTATAAGCTGTGTGGTGTATGATTTGCATTTCTATATAGGGGCTCTCCATGGAGCCTGAAATCTGAAACCCTACTACCTCAGCCTTCCAAGTGGTGGGATGATAGAAATAAGTTACTCCACCCCCTTTATGTTTTTATGGCAGCTTTCTTATGTGATCTAAGTGATGCCTACACATTACTGGCCATTGGTATCAATATATGTCAGCACATCTCCCCATATCAGGGAGTAGGGGGATACTGGATATTACTGTTGGAAGTTCTACCTTCTAATCATATGCTTGGTTCCCCCTAGCAAGAATCATCTCAAAATACACTATCACCTAGGAAATTACAAACATCTCAGTTGTAAGATGTAAGAGATGGGGCAAGGAACAAGATCGTCTCCTATTGCTGGGAAATAGTTTTAGGTGCATATGTAAGGGATCATGTCAGAGATAACAGTGTCACAGCAACCACAAAACAACTTTCCTACCACAGAACAATTCTCATACCTTTCCCTTGGTATATTCCGAGTAGACAATCACATCCATCCACAAATAATGGCTATTTCATTCCCTTTTTTGAATCTTGGACCAACAGTACAGTACAATGTAAAGAGGTAATAATGACATGCCTTAGCTTTAATCCCAATTTAGTGTTCCCTTAGACCATAGATGATGATGTCATTGGTTACATTTGTTTTTAATAGACTCCATCTATCACTTCCTTTCCTTAAAAAGCAGGAATGAGATCACCTTTAATCTATCACTTTTTTTCTTTTATCTATCAATGCAGCAAGTAGCCCTATAGACTTGTTAGAAATAAAGCACACTTGTAATCCTAGAATGAGCCCAATTTGCCAATACTGCAGTATCGATTTCAAATGCCACTGACTCTGACTTAGTCATATTTGACTAAGTACATTTGCTAGTAACACAGAACCATCACCTAATGTATCTAGATTATATCGATTTCATAGTACAAAGTAGAATATTTTTCATTATTAAAAAAGCCTGTGAGGTTAAAATCTCTTCTTGGAATGTTTGGATAAACTTATTAGTCAGGATCCTAGTAGAGTGAGTGACATGAGGCAGATTTCCAAGTTATCTAGGTACTTTACTCTTGCACATGAATATATGTAAACTTTTCTTTCACTATGGGTTTTTTCCTCACCACTCACTCAGCTGCTCTGGGAGATTGGGAATACTTATACAATTTTCGTCAGATTTGAGTCTGGAAGTCAGTTTTGATCAGGCTAGCAGAGAATAACAATGTTCATTATGTCCCAGTGATAGTATGTATCACTGTACATTTCTAAAATATACATTTTTAGCGTTATTATTACAAAATGGCTGGCAATCTGCTTTATTAATTTGCCAATTTTCTGAAACATCAGATCCTAACTTAAAATGCTATCCTCTAATGCTAAAGCACAAGCGCTGCCACAGCTTCCATTTTAACATTAGCATGTGTGCTTCTTCAGTCTGGAAAAGTTCGTTCATTGCTTCTCTCCTCCAGGCAACTCTCCTAGCCTCAGTGTCTAGTGAGAGTAGACATTTTATGCATGGGTGCAACAAACTGAATGCAAAACTACAGTATAAATATTCCCCATTATTCCAAGTGAAGTGGACAATATGCCTTCCCCAGCATAAAAAATACTTACCAGAAAGCTAACTAAAAATCATTTTCTCCAGATCTTGAACATAGTAGAGCAATATTATTCTAACACAAGGAAAATTCTAGAAGGAATGAATACTTAAAACCAAAGTTACAAATTTCAATCTATTTTAAACTTTAATTTGTGCATTTGTGGTAATTTATGACTGCAAAACACCTTTTTTCTTAGAATGATGTAAAGGCACAATTCATTTGGATGCATAGGGTACCATTCTAAAGGATCTGGTTTCCTTACAAAGTGCTTGAGCAGTCACATACATATACAGTAAAAGCAAAGTCTATTTACACTCTTAAAATCCAAAATCTGCCTAATATATATATATATATATATATATTTTATAAACTACAGAAAAATTAGTGCTTTTCTCAGCATAATTATGTGACTATGCCTTGACAACTAAATTTTTTAGTGATTGACTTCAATTAAAAAATTTCTGTACACTGTGTATATAACGCTATGTCAGTTTTTAATGCAAAAAGCCCATTTGAAACGTTGCTTTCTATGCATATTTCAGAACCAACAAAGGTATGCAGACTGTACCTCAAAAGTAGTTAGTGTTTTATTTTAATATTGTGTTAACACTGTTCAAATTAAAGCTAGACAATTAGGCTATTTTTTTCCTATTGTTCTTTCCCAAGGCAATTAATTGGCATTTTAAAGCAACCTAAAACAACATATTGTGCCTCTTTTTATAAAATTTTCTTCCAAAGGATCTTGGGAGAAAAATTATAATGAATTTGAAAGGTAATATAAAATATCTCTGAACAATTTTAATTGTTCTCATGGTACAATAAAAACATGCCAATGTATCTCAGCAAGGCTGTTTTAAGCTCAACTCTTCATGTATCATTGTGCTTTTAGGGTTCTTATTAGACTCAAATTTGGACAGTTTTAAGAGATGAGCTGACTGTGACTGCGTGGTTAATTTAAGTGTGGTTAGTTACCAACTTGTTATTCCTGAGGTATAATGGCCCTAACATGCTAAGCACAGGATCATCAATGATACTAAATTGAGGAAAATGAAGTGATAAGCTAGGAGGAAAAAAGTAAAAACAAACAAAAACCTAAAAAATTCCAGCCAAGTGAAGTCATGATTTGTAAAAAGGCATATCGTAAGAAAGATAAAAAGCCACAAACGGATCCTCTGAAGATTGTAGAGTATTTGATCAAATTATTTGTGAGACTTTTGAGGTACAGTTTTAGTGTTATAATAACTTTTTATAAAATATAGACTGTTTTATCAAAAATATTTATACATTCTGTTACAATATATTGCTTTTGCCCTCAATAACTGCCAATATAAAATCTGGATCCAGTGGCCTAAAATATACAAATGCACTTAATGTAAATGCTGGAGTCTGAGGTGTCTGCTTGGCCACTGTACAAAAGTGATGAAGTGGTGAAATTAAATAATATGCCTACAACACAGAATACATTACAACTTGTACATATACATGTTCACAGCATGTATACCATGATAATCTCTATGGTTTAACAAAAAGTTCCCTTCTACAGCAGACACAGGAACAAGATGACTGGGTTGATAAAAGTATAGAATGCATATCAATGAAGGGTCAGCCAGGCTCCCTGACTTCGGTATCTTGGTTCCGGCTCATCACAGTCCTCACTGTTGCTACTGTTTGCAGCACTGTTCCCTAAGGAAAAGCTTGTTTGGCAGGTAGCTCTGCTGGGTAGCTGTGGGGCTCTGCTGCAAGGTTGGGGAAGTTAAGGCCATAAAGAGTGTTCTGACAAATATAGAAAACTTATAAAACTAGACATTAATACATTCTCGTCTTTTTCTTTAAATCAAGCCACCAAAGGTGCACAAACTGCCACATTTTTCATATTATACTTATTTCTTAAAAATTAAATTGCCTTAAACAGAATCACACTTTATGTGAACAGTAATAGCTTCTGAAGCCCTATTTTTTTTTTTTTTTTTGTAAAACACAGTTAAGTGATTAATCTTCCTTCCACTTAAGGCAGGCCTAGGGCACAGATGGGGACTATTAAAGAGTGGTTCTTCTTTTTTAAAAATAGAGTATTGATGTAAAAGTATTTATTTGCAATGGATTTCCACGGCCAATGTTCACTCAGCCTAAACTCCATGAAACAGCTTCCAGTGTTGAGATTTATGTTAAAAACATTGAGAAGGTATTTAACAGTACTTTAGCCACATCTTCACGTTCTTTAAAAACCTCGGAAGCTCCTAGTGGCACAGAAGGCAAATGAAGGGCGCTGTTTTCAAGAGGTCTTCTTGTCAGTCAGTTTGCTTGGTTTCACAGTGTCCAGTAACTTAACACCAATCAGCAATGTAGTCAAAATCTCGGAACATTTCCTGCTCCTCTTCTGAAAGTATCCTTGGTTCTCGAGGTGGAGTCAGAATAGGTGCTTCTGAGGTAAATTCATCATCAAAATTACTAACATCTTCCCGTCCTCTGATGGTTGGTACAAATGGTGGTTTCACTTTTTTGTCCATCAGAGCACTCCAGTCAGTTAGCTGGGTCACAAAAATATAAAACAACCGGTTCAGTTTCCTGTTTCAATCACTCAAGTTTCATAGAAACTCCGCACTTCTGCACTTACCCGGAAAAATGGGTGCTTCTTGACATCTTCTGCGTCTTTCTCACCAGCTCCCAGTCGCCGCTCAGGGTTTCTTCTCAACAGCTAGCACCAAAGCAAGGAAGTTAGGATGAAAGCAATCAATAAAATGTGTTTCATTGACAGTGACTCTCTCAACTTGAGACTTAGGGTTTTTTTGTTGTTGTTGTTTGTTTAGATTTGTCTAAAGCATGCAACATCTATGAATTACAAACTTCTAAATTTCAACTGGGAAATTTTCTTCTACATACAAATTTAAGCTTAAATTCTTTGTTGTTGTTGTTTTCAAGAAGAATTGTTAATCCTAATTTCTTACCCTTCTCATTATGGAAATGGCTTCTGTAGATAAGAACCTTGGATACCTTACTTCGTCATTTACAATACTGTCAAAAACCTCTTCTTCATCATCACCAGGGAAGGGAGACTAGAAGAAATATATTCTAGTAAGATAAAAGTCCCAAGATAGTAAAAAAAAAAAACCCATATATTCAAGAGTATAACCAAAATTAAGGCAATGAAAATGAAATGAAACAAAAACAGGACCTGGAGATATAGCTTCGTTAGAGTGTCTGCCTAACATGCATGAAGCCAGCCCTGGGTTCCATTTCCAGCACCACCCAAAACCAGGAAGAAGTTCAAGACTAGCCCCCACTACACAGTGAATGTAAGAAGCTTGTGCTGTGTCTGGGCTACATGAGACCATCTGTCAAAAAATCAAAAAACGACAACAACAACAAAAAAACAAACACTGTATGGGGTTCTGATTGTGAGCTGGGCATGCTGGCTTATACCTATCATTCAAGCAGTTGGGAGATAGAAGTATGAGGACCACAGGTGATTCCAGGTCACCATGGGCTGCAAAGTGAGACCTTACTTCCAAACCTCCTCACAAAAACTGGACAGGATGTTCCAATGAGACAAAAAGAAAACAAGAAACAAAAAAGCCAAAGCAAGCAAGCAAGCAAACAAACCAACCCAAATGAATAGTTTAGCCAAACCACACTTTCAACAGTAAAAAAAAAAAAAAAAAAGAAAAACATTATCATTGAAGCCTCAATAATGCTATAAAATTAGAATACAGACCAATAGGTTTTAAGTTTAATTCCTTTCCTAATTACCTTCCTGTGGAGGCACTAAAGATAAATGGAATTGAAAGGCAACTGTAATGGAAAAGCAATGCCTTCTGGGTGTGTTTAAAACTCAACCACTTAGAAACCCTTTTCAAAACTAGGAAGCAGGAACTTCCTCTCTTGTCTGAACAGAAGGCGGCAAAATCAACAGCCTATGAATGCTGCACGACACATAAACTAATTTCTGCATGTCATTTCTAGCAGTATTTTTTGGGGGCTGGGGGTGAGGGTTGAAACAGGGTCTCATTGTGTAGATCTGGCTGTCCTGGAACTCACTATGTAGACCAGGCTGGCCTCAAATTCAAAGATCTGCCTACTCTACTTCCTGAGTGCTGGAATTAAAGGCATGCACCACTATTCCTGGCAGAAAGTAAATAAGTTTGAATCAGAATTAGATCTTAGTCTTACTTCAGTGTTACATTTAAAAATATGGCAACAGAAACATTCTTTTCAAAACTAGAGTGGGGACAAAGTTTAAGTGTGCCACAGCCTCCAGCAACAATATTCATTACCTTAGAAAGACCATTGTATATACTGAGGCTAAAACAATTTTATTCCATTCCAAATACCTAAAACTGCGTTTCCAAACAGAGGTGGAAGATTCAATCTGGACCACATGTTTCAGGAAAATGAATGAGGTCAGATGGATCTGATATCTGATCCTAAAGCATAAAGTCTGAAAATGACAAGAAGGAAGGATCGCAACCCTACCTCACAAGCGCTGTAGAACATGTTATTAACCACTTTGTGTCTACTCACGCATCTGAAAACAGCAATAATACCAGTTTGGAGTTTATTAAATGTTGATGAAAAATAAAAAGAGGTACTCTTTATAAAGCTCATAGCTCTTCTAATGAACCATGTCTTCCCTCTTTTTCCCATAGAATCTACTCCAATTTGACACACTGAAAGGACTGTCATACACTGGACAGGTTTGTTCATTATGGTTAAGTGTCAGGAAACAACACAGACTAAAACTTCAGAACCATCTAGCAGATAGGAAGGCATGCATTCATTCATCCAGCCACTAAATGATTCATAACCTGGATGAATGCAATGGGAAACTACATGGGTTGTGAGGTCTCACAATAGGGTGCTGGGAATTAAACTGAGGTCTGCTGCAACATTAATATTAATATGCACTCTTAACTGCTGAGCCATCTCTCCAACACTGCGGTTAATTTTGACGGTCACATTTATTTCCAATAAACGTATAGTTGGCTTTTCTTTATAGTTGGCAGATTTTTTTCCCTTTTTGTATTTTAATTCAAGAACAAGATGTTTTTGCCATGTAGCCCATATTGGTCTCAGATTCACGATCTCCCTGCCTCTGCTCCCACATGCTAGGATAACAGGTGTGTACCAATACACCTGACACATATTCCCAATGAGACACCAGTTACTTTAAAATCACAAAACATAAACAAAAATATAACACATAAACAAAAATGCCGTCTGAAGATATTCATAATACAGTCCATCCACTGTATAACTATCTAAACTAGGCTAGTAAAGATATTGTAGAAACCCAGCTGATCATTAGCATAGAACTGAACTCCTCCTACAGGAGACATCTGTAGGTGTCTTTATAAAAATGATGTGCTTTATCCTTCCAATCATCCTCCCGCTCTTCATCTACCCATTTCCTGCTGCTTACCTCTCCAACCAGCATTTCATATATAAGTACGCCAAGGCCCCACCAATCTACAGCCCTTGTGTATGATGTTTCTGTCAATACTTCTGGGGCAAGAAATTCAGGAGTACCACAAAATGTGCTTGTCCTATCTCCATACCCCATTCCTGGAGATGATAAATTCATGCATTTATTAGCAAAGAAAAAAATTGACATGAAAATTAGAAAGTGTGCTTAGAAAGAAAATTGACAGTGCTGTGCTGTACATGGTATCTAACTCAAACATACCAAGACTTTACAAATCTGTTTCACCCATCACACTACTGATTCAATAAACATCCACTAATACTAAGATATCCAAGAACTGTATTTATATACTATGGAAACAAAGTTAAGTAATAAAACTGCTAGTGTACAGAGGTGGAAGCACATATTAGTTATAATGTAAAATATAAAGAGAAGAATATCTTATTTAAAATATTGCTTACTGTATCTCATATTCACCTCTAATTATTTCTTTAAGAGTGAATTATATTCACTTTATAGATGAGAATATGGACTCAATGAATTTAAAGCATGTTCTTCAAAGACACACTATTTCCTCATGTGACCTTTCATTTGAATTGCCTCAGCTTACTGCTTTATTTAGTCCTAAATATATAGAAAATCTTGAGATATTTATATACATGACTTTTCCAATTGAAAACATTAGTGGTTCTAAGAAGCTGGCAAGGTCACTAGGTGCATGTATTTCACTTGGCACAGTCCCTATTGACAAGCCGGTGCTAAGTACCACCTTAAACTATGGTAGAGTCGATGGCAGAACATAAACCACACAGAGAAGCAGAGTCTCACACTACAGTTCCTGGAAACACCAACTATTTGTATCCACTGAACAAAGTCTTGATGTGGTTACTGGGTTATATGAACAATCCAAATGCTTTAATGGAATAAATAAAAACTAAAAAAACGGTTTTTTTTTGAAAACTACCAAAAGTACAAAGGTACAATAATCTATTAGAACATGAATTTGAAAAGTTCAATTACCTTCTTTGCAAAGACCAAAGTCAGCAATTTTCACAAAGCCTTCTGTATCTAGCAACAAATTATCCAGCTTCAAATCTCTGTTCAAGGTGGAAACATGAAAATAAATCAGTAAGCCACATAGTACAAAACACAATTTTTATTTTCAAGAGGAGCCCAATGTTGTCTTCTGGGAACTTTTTCTTCTAAGTTATAGCATAGGATGCTTTCATTTTTCTTCTTTTTGTGTAAGTAATACTGTTTCTAAGTAATTTTTTTCTTGATGTGCATATATATATATAATATATGATGTGCATATATATATATGAGAATGCATTTACAAAATAAAAATTTGATCTCTTTATAAACATTTATTTTAAAATACAGAATCAGTTTAAATACCTTTTATTCAAGTTTAAATTTTTATTTAGAGTAATTGAGTCACAATTTGAAGTTTGTTTATATGCACTATGAAAGAATTTAAGCTAACAGTATAAAGTATATGATTTAACTTTTAAGAGTATAATTTAAAATAATGAGAACGCTAGTCAATTACAGATTAAGATAGTTTAAAATACTTTCTTAAGGGACTGTAGAGATGGCTCAGAGTTTAAGAGCACTGGCTCCTTTTCTAGAGGTTCTGAGTTCAATTCCCAGCAATCACACGGTGGCTTACAATCGTATATAATGAGATCTGGTGCCCTCTTCTGGTGTGTAGGCATGAATGCCAGCAGAACACTGTATACATAATAAATAAATAAATCTTAAAAATAAAATACTTTATTAAGTAAACAGAACCATGAGGAAATCTTTACCTTAAAAACATTGCTAGAAGTTTGAATGAACCACTGTTTATAGATTCCTTATTCTGACTGGCTGCCCCATAATGAGCTTGCTCTCTAGTACCATGTAATGTAGTAGTGTGAAGTAAGAGTAGCACTACTCAGTGTGGCCAGGACCAGATGCTGACCACAAGCTGTTCTGCAGTTTGAGAAGGAGCCAATGCCAGACTATGAATGGGCTATGCCAGCAATACATGTTAGTTCAGGTGATGCCAGCACTTTCTTATTTATTTATATTATTTATTTATTTTTGGGCTGGAGATCAAACCCAGGGTGTCACACATCATAACCTCTCTACCATTATGCTCAGTCCATGTTAGCCACAACATCAAATGAAGAAACAGCATGGAAGTTTACATTCTTGCATAAGCTGTTTTTCTCTCTCCTGGGTCAATTGGTCTATAGAAGTTTTCTGTAGTAAATGATTACATGTAATCACGAGATGAACGCTACTGGTCAACTGTGTCACCACAGGCCAGCTCACATATTTACTAGTTAGGAAATGAGCAGAGGGCCAAGAATCAAGAAGTCCATCACATAACTCTCATGCAGGTAGCCTATGGTTCCAAGCTGGGGTAGGACTCACTTATGACATGTAGGAGAAAACAAAAAAGCTGGTTAAATACAAAATAGCCTCGTTAATGATTCTGAATTCCAATTCACTTGGAAGTAAACTAGTAGGAACAAATGTACTTACCTATAAACAATTTTGTGCTCATGTAAATATTGTAACCCAAGAACTACACATGCTGCATAAAATCTGTTGGAAAAATTAAATCAAATGTTTAATAAGCTTCACTATTCTTGAACCCTTTTATAGTTGAATGCATAACTTTATAGTTAGTGAAGTTCTCAAACATTTATTTATTTCTACCACATACAATGCACTGTGCTATTAGAGATGAATTTAAAAATTGAGAGTATGGGTATAGCAATGAACAGCATTCATTTGGACTGGTTGTCACTGAGGATCAGTCACTGAGAGGACTTTCAGTTTGGTTCTGTAGGAGGAATTACAATGTACCATAAGGTTGGAGTGTCAAGAGTGGCAAAGCAGTTCTGTCAGCAAATACAGGCCATTCCCTTAAAGGGGAAAGAGAATAGAGACATGGAAGCTGTCTGTCTGACAACTAGTAAGGAATTGGTTGTGTGTTGTGGGATATTTGTACACTGTGTAAAGATGTATTTGCTGTGATTGGTGTAATAAAAGCTGAAGAGCCAATAGCTTAGCAGAAGGTATAGGTGGAATTTCCAGTGAGAGAGAAGGGGAAATGAACCCAGGTGATGCAGGGAGACACGAAGAGGCAGCAGGAGATACAAGATGGAAGAAAGGTAACACCTCATGATAGGATGTAGAAAAATATAAATGGGTTAATTTAAGTTATAAGAGTTAGTTAGGAACAAGCCTAAGCTATAGGTTGAGCTTTCATAATAAGAAGTCTCTGTCAATATCTGGGAGCTGGGTGGCAGGACAGAAAAGACTCATTACCTTTGGTGCCAGTGAGCAGCATATAAATCTACATAGGGCCTGAGAAAGTTTAAAAGAAAATTTCAAGTAGGCTCAGTGCTTGAAGCATACACAGGTGCAGCTCTTTTAAGAGGTAGAAGTGCCTACCTGAGCTGGGGCAGATAGACTGGCTCCAGGCCCAGCTGCAGGCATCAGGCTTCACTCTCACAGACCTGAAGTGGGCAGAGTCATCTGCCAGCCCACGTGCTAAATGGAGCCAGGAAACAGGGCCTAGCCTCTGCTTAACAGTTTAAGGCTTTGCTCACAAGATCAGAAGGCTACAGTACAGGTGAGCAGTACAGTGGTCCTGACCAAGAAACCATTTAAATGGATACAGAAAATAAATAGGTATAGACAGTCATAGAAAAAAATAGTGTAAAAATAAAGTCTTAAAAAATTCAAAGTAGGGCTGGACAGATGGCTCAGAGGTTAAGAGCACCGACTGCTCTTCCAGAGGTCCTGAGTTCAATTCCCAGCAACCACATGGTGGCTCTCAACCATCCCTTATGAGATCTGGTGCCCTCTTCTGGTGTGCAGATATACATGGAGGAGAATGTTGTATACGTAATAAATAAATAAATCTTTAAAAAAAATTCAAAGTAATATTAAAAAAGGACAGGAAATACACAGGTATCTGAATCCTGTATGGTGCTTTTGCTTTAAAAACAAAAACAAAAACAAAAACAAAAACCAGCTGCTGAGAGACATTGGATTATGAAAACTACTAAATTAAACCAACCTATATATTTTAAAAATGTCTTCATTTCAGAATAAAAGTTGAAAAATACGTTGCATTGGAAGGTTATGCCTTTGTTTCCATAGAAATAAAGACTTATGATTTTCTTCAAATTAATATAGATAAGATTTGATTATGGGAGTCCTCCTGAGGACTTATCTACAGACATGAGGGAAAAAGAGAAAACAGACCATAAGACAGGTGATGTATAAGCTGATCCCTCTCCATGGAAACAGCACTGAGACCGGATGAGACATGATTAAATCTTGTTGGCTACAGAGTCCTCATGACTTGTTACTACATGCCACCCTTTCATAGGGCATGGAGAGAGATTTATATTACAGTTTAGTGACAGTCTAAATGGACTTAAAAAGTTGGCAGGTGCCTTTTACCTGCTCAACCATAAAATGAAACGCTGCACATTCCAGACTTACGCGAATACAGACACTTTTTAAGCTCTACACTTTTCCATCACATAAAAACTAAACAAAAATAACACAACTAGCTCTTCCAGAACATAACCATTATCTCAATAATCTCAGGGCACCCTAAAGATGCGGTCACCCCCAGACAATAGAAAACAATTTACAAAGCATGGCATTCAGATTCCCAAGAGATGGGGTGGGTGGCTTTGACCATTCAGTGGGTTTTTGTTTTCTGAAGGGAAAGGGGTGTAATATAATATAGAAATGATGGGATAATAGGGTGATTGTTGAGTCTGCTTTTGAACAATCACTCATCTCAACTATTTTACATTGCTATGAATTTTTGTATCAATACAAATTTAAGGTTATTTTTGTTATTTTATATGTGTTTCTACGCTTATTTAAGGTATTATACCTATGCAGCTCATTTAAAAATATAATGCAATGTTCTAATCCTTGAAAGCTATTTAATATAAAAAAATATATAGGCTAGTAGTTACTTATCTATAACAAAACTTATAGTCATGCTAAGATCAATAGATGGTCTTCAAAGACCTACAGAAAACAGCATTTAAAATGTTCTAATGACATAAGGCTTTTCATGACAGTGAGATCCATCTGTTCCTGGCAGCACCAATTTACTTCAAAAAAGAATGATGGGCATCAAAGAACTCCATAAGGAGCTTGCGTTCAACATGGCAAAGCTAACCATTTAGGCAAACTGGATGAGCAGGACACAAAATAAAGCGACTGCTGAACTTTGCCAAGACATGGTAGGACAGTACTTCAAAATTCCTGCTTCACAGAAAAGTAATACTGTCAAGTATTCTAGGCCTATAGGCCAAAGATGGATGCCCCAATGTTGCAGAGGAACCTTGGGAGACTGTACAGAGAGCTGTCTCCATCATTTCTATGGTTATGGAAGTTGTTTGCTCTAAACTTGTGTTCTAAACACAAGTTTAGAGCAAACTTCTGTTTAGATAGCTTTAGGATGTTAATACAAGTTATGATAGAAAATGGTTTCGGTATAAAACTTTAAAATTCATCAAGATAAAAGATAATAGAGTATTTTCTCCAAATATGCCAAATATAAACCCACTGACTGGACATTGTGAATACAATTCTTATATAATTGTTCTTATAGTATATAACTTTACTGTGTTAGAGTTAAAATATTTCCATTTTATTTAGACAAAAAGGGGGAAATATTGTGGGATATTTGTACACAGTGTGAAGTGTATTTGCTGTGATTAGTGTAATAAAAAGCTGAATGGCCAATCACTAGGCAGAAGGTATAGGCAAGATTTCCAGGGAGAAAGTCTAGGCGAGCAAGAGATGCTGGGAGACATGGAGAGGAAACAGGAGGTACAAGATGGAAAAGAGGTAACAACTCACGATAGAACACAGATTAAAATAAATGGGTTAATTTAAATTATAAGAGCTAGTTAGCCACAAGCATAAGCTATAGGCCGAGATTTCACAATTAGTAAGTCTCAGTGTCATTATTTGGGAGCTGGCAGGCAGGACAGAAAAATACTTGTTACAGTTGTAGACAAAGCACAGGATAGAAGTCTATGGAGAGCATAGCAGATTATCAAGCTGAAAAGACCTGAATAGGATCATGAATGTCATACAACAGATAATCTTATGATGATGGCAGATCAGGTCATTTTAATGAGGGAGAATATTTATATTAGGACATTGTAAGTATTGGAACAGAAGTATGTAGTGAAGAGAGAAAACAAAAAATGCTTTTACAATAGAACAGAATAAAGATATGAGAACTTCCAGTAAACTGCTAGCAAAGAAATAATAGCTATCCAAGATGAGGGAATAGTAAAGAATAGAAATGAATAGGTAACAATTAAAAAAATAAAATATTGTTGAGAAAATGTTTGACTTTAGACATATGGACTTAGGATTGTTTGTAGGGCAAGAAACAGAGCCCTACATGGACACATGGCCCTGGACTCACAGTAAGTTTGCTGAGTAAGGGTGAGAATAAATAAATGAATGAATTTACGAATTCAAATCTAGGAAAAATAGGCTCTTGATGATACAAAAACATATTTTATAGAATATGCATTATTAACTACTCTTTTTACCAAAGTATAACATTCTACTCAGCAATCACTCCAACTCAAGTCTGCCATCCACAAAGATAATATAATTATATTCTTTTAAGCAAGGTGAATGCATTAATACTCTATATATCTATTACACTTAGCTTTAAAGTTTACTCATTTTTATGAAAATGGGACTGTAATTTAGAAGAATTTAAAAATGCAACTACTTACAAGTATATATTTAATTGTATATTAAATCTTATGTAACAGGTTAAAGCATTTGTGTGCAGTTTGTTAAACTCTATATGCTAATTAAGATAGTTGTGTCAAGCTTTTATTTTTTTTAGATTTTATTTATTTATTATGTATACAACATTCTGCTTCCATATAGATCTGCACACCAGAAGAGGGACCAGAACTCATATTGGATGGATGTGAGCCACTATGTGGTTGCTGGGAATTGAACTCAGGACCTCTGGAAGAGCAGTCTGTGCTCTTAACCTCTGAGCCATCTCTCCAGCCCTTGTCAAGCATTTTTAAAAAGCAAACATTGTAGTAGTAAAACAATATTGCAACAATTAAAAAGGATCCTTCTTTTCTGGTTTTTAAGCAAATTACACTGATTATACTCAATTTACAAAACAAATAGAAAACACTAAGTTTGGCATAGTCAAGTATTTTGTTAGTTGCTTCCCTTCAAGTCTCTATTTTACAGAAGCAGAAAATGAAGCTCAGAGGAAATCCTTTGTTTAGAGCCACATAACTGGAAAACAGCACAGCTATGAACACTAAACTGTTTTGATTACACAGTCTCAGGTAGTACAGATTCACAATGCCTTATGTACCAGGCTCTCTTCCAGGTATCACATTCAACAGAATAGATACAGGACCCACTCCTCTGTTAATAAGGGGAGTATGTTTAACAATTTTTATACATCTTCAAAAATCAAAACAAAAATAATTCCCATGCACAGTAAATATCTGCTTAATATATTTTTATATTTTTGTTTTGTTTTAATCAAGGTACTACCCATGTAGTTTGGGCTGACCTAAATTCAGTATCCTCCTGGGACCATCTCTCCTGAAGGAGGGAGGGTCTAACTTTGCACCATAACCTTAAAAATTTTAAAACACCTACAGGGATCCTACTCCACCTTCTGTCTTCTATGGGCACTGCAGGCATGTAGTGCACAGACATACATGCAAACACTCACAAACAAAATAAAAATACCTGGAAAACTAACTATAATCGTCTTTCTACTACTCAGCCTGGTTTTAAAATATGTTACTATGCATCAGAATTAACTCCTGTTTTCCTATGTGAAAACTGAAAACTGTGACACTATCACTGTATACACATACCTCTAACAGTTACACAGAAAATCAAAGGTGTGAAAGAGAAATTACCAGAAAATAGAGTTAAGATGATGCAAAAGTAAAATCTATAAAAGTACTATTGGATTTGTTAATTGTATGGATGTTATAGGTGAGGAAAAAAGAGGACGAAGAATGACATTCTGCAGTCTAGCCTGAATAACACAGAAGATAATATTGCTATTTAATAAGATGAGGAAGACTGGAGAGTAACAGGCCTGGGAAACAAGAAAAAAAAAAAAAAAGAAAAAAAAAAGCAGGAAAACTTAGCATTCTGAGATGCTAAGTGGGATTTTTATGAACCTTACAAATGGAAAAGCTGGTCCTGTTCTGGGTACTATTAAAATCTGGACCACTAGGGAAGAGACTGGGCTAACGATGAAAGCTTGATGAGTCTTGTATATAGGATACAGCTACTAGGAGTACTTTCCTAGGCTTCCACTATATAAAAGTTGCAAAATTAGAACAATCAATAAACTGTATATGGCCTGTAATCTAAAATGCTTACTACTCTTGATTTTCATGTAGTTGAATAAGCTAAACTTAATATACAATCAAATTGAACTACAAAAATGGTTTAACTTGAAGTTTCTTTTCCATCTCTTTTCTTGGAGGCAAAAAGAATACAGGTTGAACACCCCTAATCCTCAAATCTGAAATATGAAAGGGTCTAACACAATATTCAGTTTTAGAGTTCGGTGTATTGGTACACACCTACAACCCTAAAGCTTGGGAAGATGACAGAAGATGGTTATGACTTTTGAGGCCAGCATAGAATACATACCAAATTTAAGTTTTGCTTGGATAACATGGGAAGACCTTATCTTGGGTGGTGGGGGGAGAACTTGAAGAATTTTGTGATTTCAATATCTGAAGAAACAAAAACCTAAAACACTTCTAGCTTCAAGCATTTTGTACAATAGATAATCAACCTATACCATTTTTAACATTCTTTGAGAAATATGATAAACACAATCTTACCCTTTAAAACACAAATACAAATATTTTAAAAAATATGAAATACCAACACTTCAATACCTTTGAGTATAATTTGCTTTTAAAATTAAGATTCTAGAATGCCATTCTTCAGGGGGAAAGCTAATAGCTAAAATAAAAATAATCTAAATATAACCTAAGTTGACTCTAAATTACCAAGAATGAAATAATGGTAATTCATGAAATTCTCACCAGACAACAGAGTACAAAAACACAAAAAGAATTCAGCAAAAAATAAGAAACTCTACTATTTCTTCCAGGGTCTATGTTTATTGGGGAAGAACCCAGGATGTAAAGGTCACAGCTCCTTTGAGTCCAGAAAGCCCTGAGTCATGGAGAGTGAGGCGGATGTCTAGAGGCATACTATACTCACACAGCTCTAGGTTCAGAGAAGACGTCGGTGTGAATGTGCATCATCAGGTCCCCACCTGCCGCATACTCCATCACAAAGCACACATGCTCTTTTGTTTGGAAACACGCAAAAAGGTTCACCAGAAAGGGGTGCCTGACGCTATTCACAGTCTCAAAAATTCTTTTTTCACACATCAGGCTGTTAAGAGAAAAAATTATCAAGACTTAAAACAAAATTTCAAACTTTTATGAATTTAAAAATCATAAAAATATATTTTGCAGTATTATGAGAAATGTTCAACCTGATATATAATGGTAACTGAAAATATATTAATGAGTAGCAGAACATATAGATTATATTGTTTACATGATAATATCAGCCTGGAATAAATAGAGCTAGTAGTTATAGTTAATTTACATAGAGACCCAATAAGTAGTTTGTGACCATGGTAATTCCAAGGAGAGCATATATAATTTATTAGCTTGAGTATTCAAATTTTTATCATATAAAATAAGAAGCTGAGAGATACAGATAGGCTGATAAAAATTTAATCTAGAAGACTGACTAGAAAGCAAAAACAATTCAATACGTTTCAAAAGGGAATTCTTTGAAAACAACATGAACTTCTGTGATATCATGCAAATGTCTGTAGCAGTCCATATAAGAGTAGGACAAGTTCTTGAAAGGAATGTGGCAAACTCCCTGAATGTGGAACATTATGTTCCCTCAACAGCCAAATCAAAATAATTCTTCTTTCTCTCAAAAATACTTAGTAAAGTAAAACTCAAAGTGAAAGAAAATTGTGTAAAGTATTATTGATATCAAGTTTTAATTCTTGACAATTGATGTCAAGTATTAATGTTATTATTAGAATAAAAATTATTTTTCAAGCTTTGTTTAATGCTTTTATTTCTTTCCTTTTCCTTAAATTTATTTGATATGCATTGGTATGAAGGTGTCAGATCCCCTGGAACTGGAGACACAGAAAGTTGTGAGAGGCTACGTGGGTGCCTCTTCCTCTCGAAGAGCTGCCATTGCTCTTAACTGCTAAGTCATCTCTTCAGCTCCTAATGTCTTTATTTTTAAATTAGGAAGGTCAGGTCAGTGAGCCGTGTGAGTGGGTAATTAGCTATTTGAGTTCAATGTCTAGTACATAATGCTGGAAGGGAAGATAACACCACGAACTTGTTCTTTGACCTCCATGGGCACACCACACAGGATTATGATCATCATTATGCTAAAGGATTTTTGTTGTTCCAAGCAACACTGTGGCACTGCAAATGTCAAGGTAAACCACTGATGTTAGAGAGAGGTAATATCCTTTTGGATCTTTTTAAAAATGAAAAAGTTGCAGGCATGGTGGTACATGTCATTAGTCACAGCACTCGGGACTCAGAGGCAGCCAGATCTCTGTGAGCCATGAGGACAGCTTGGTCTTCATAGAGAATTGATCCAGGACAGTCAGGACTATGTAGAGACACTTGTCTCAAAAAAACCAACCTCCCTATCTACCCACTTACCAACTAACCAACCATCCAAACAAACAACCCTAAACCACCCCTTACAAATATGAGTATCCAAATTACATTATGAATGACTTGAAAATTTAAATAAGCCTGGCAGCCTTTAAGAATCATATTTGTCACAAAGAAGTATGCTGTGTTTTAGTTTCTACTAGAATAAGAGCAAAAACACCAATTTATATCTAAATACTGAAAATAAAAGCAGTTTCTGATAACATTTGAGATCCTTCAGACTCACATTTGAAATAAACTCCTAGATACTGATCTGACATGATCTGTTTGATTATTTTGACAGTCTCATTATGTAACTTACACTGGCCTCAAATTCATGATCACTTGTCTCAGCCTTCACAGTGCAAGAGTACGTGAAGGCATCATCAGGGCCAGATATCGTTTTAAATGCTTACATACTTAGAAAGCCACACCAATACTCCTAAGCTTTACTTTTATGTTTTCATGAGGCACAGGCATAAAAAAACACATAGGAAAAACTTAATACCCTCTTTTTGTTTTTTGTTTCCCGACACAGGGTTTCTCTGTGTAGCTCTGAAGCTTGGAGACCAGGCTGGCCTTGAAATCACAGAGATCAACCTGTCTCTGCCTCCTGAGTGCTGGGATTAAAGCTGTGCACCACCATTGCCTGGCAATACCTTTGGTTATTGAAAGATGTTTTTAAAATGTTTTAGGCAGGATGGATTCTTTATTAAACCAAACTGCATTTTTTTGAGTTAATGCAGGTGAAATACTCAGATTTGATAAGACAAAGCTGATCTAAGATATACTGGGCTTAGGCAAATTAAAACCATGAGGTATATTTATGAGTGACTCACTAATCTATTATGGGTGAATTTATGATGGACCTAATAAATTCTCTATTCGATGGATGTCAGGTTAGATATGAACTGACCATGTGAGACGTAGTGTGACAGCTTGAATGAAAATGGCCCCAAAAAGAAGTGGTACGATTAGCAAGTATGGCTTTGTGGGAGTGGGTATGGCCTTGGGGAGGAAGTGTGTTGCTGTGGAGGCAGGCTTTGAGGTCTCACATATGCTCAAGCCATCCCCAGTATCTCAGACTACTTCCTACTGCCTGCATATCAAGATGTAAAACTCTAAGCTTCCTCTCCAGCACCATGTCTGCCTGCATTCCTCCATGTCTCATCACAATGATAATGGACTAGACTGAACCTCTGAACTATAAATGACCCAATTAAATGTTTTCCTTTATAAGAGTTGCTGTGGTCATGGTGTCTCTTCACAGCAACAGAAACCCTAACTAAGACAGGTAGAAAAAAACATCCTGACAATATTAAAGATAAGAATTAGAGAGAGGAAGAAGGCTCTTTAACAATTCAAATTAACAATGACTTTAGTCTGAAGCATTTTACAGCATCCTAGAAAACTACATAATATGATAATCTTTAGCCTGTTGTCTAAATTACACATTCCCCTTAAAACTTTTCACAACAATTCAAACTTTAATATTTGTAAATACATTTATATATTTATTTTGTGAGCTGAGTATGTGTGTTGCTACTTGGGCCACTGCATACATGTAGTGGTCAGAGGGCAACTTGTGAGAGCTAGTTGTCTTCTTCCACCATGTCCAAAGATAAAATCAGGTTGTCAGTTGTCAGGTGTGCTAAGTACCACTAAGCCATCTTGCTACCACAATATAAATTCAATTTCTCCTTAAAAAAAAAAAAAAAGACCTAAATCTATTAGAATACAATGATATCTTTCTAATACATTGCTATTGTCTGTACCATTTATTTTTAAATTTATTTAGCCTTCCTTATTAATAATGATTTTATGTCTTGTTCCCCTAGGTGACGAGTTCTGTTCAGAGTCCAGCAGTTATTAAGAAATAAGAACAAATAATGTTCGTATCAGCTATTAAAATATAAAAAGAAATAAATGAGCATCTTAGCCAGTAGAAAACTAAACCATTAATAAAACTCAGGTTTTAGAGCTGAATACCATATTAACATGAAAAGCTTTGGCTTTATTCTATCTTTATCTCTCTATCATACACAAACACACACCAAACCTGAAACACCTTCTGGTTCTATGCCGTTACAATGAATGAGAATCGATAAGAAACCAGAGTGAGAGGTCACCACAATGCACATGGAAGGAGAGATGAACTGAATGTTCACAATAGAGGCAGGAAAACTGAGTGATAAGACTGAGTTTTCAACTATACTTCACATTAATTTAAAGAAACTTACTTGAAATTTATTGTAACCTAGTAAAGTGGCATATTTCTTTCTTTTTTTTTTTTAAGATTTTATTTATTTATTATGTATACTTTCTTCTGGAAGCATGCCAGCAGAAGGCACTGGATCTCATTCAAGGTGGTTGTGAGCCACCATGTGGTTGCCGGGAATCGAACTCAGGACCTCTGGAAGAGGAGTTAGTGCTCTTAACCGCTGAGCCATCTCTCCAGCCCCCAAGTGGCATATTTCTAAGTAAAATAATATATAAACAATATAGCCCAGACTACAGAACAAATTTGGAGATCTGTGATGAAGGGCAGGGGTGGGGCATGAGTGAACACGCCTGTAATCTCAGCACATGGAAAGCAGGACCAACTGTAAGCTGCAGGCCAGCCTGGGCCACATAGAGACTCTATCGCTCCCAAAATAACAACAGCAAAAATTAAAAAAGAGTTACATGGAATAAAAAAGAACTTGACAGAATTACTAAGGGGGCAAAATGCAACATAAACATGAAGGATCCTCCTTAATTATAACTAGTTTGAGTTATGGTCCGGTCATATTAAAAGTAATATATGTCATTTAAAAATATATTTTTCTGTTTTTTGAACTGATTCTTTTTCACAAGATCTAGATGTGACATTTTTAAATTATTATTATTTTAGTTACCTTCCCCAAATTTCTTCAAGAATGGGCTTTATTTATTATTCCTGAAACATTCCTTTTTTTGGTGTTCATATTTGAGATCTGTTTCCATGTTACCCTGTTGTGAACAATCTTTGTATACTGTAAATATGTATTACTCTCACTGGTTAGTAAAGAGCTAAGTCTCCTATAGCTGGGCAGGACAGAAAGGGAAAAAGAGAGGAGTCCAGATGGAGAAGCAGCAGGACTTGCAGGAGAGGTAAAAGTCCTGAGCCTTGGGGCAGCAGGTAGGTGAACAGAAAGAAGTGGGTTAATTTAAGTTCTAAGTGCTAGCTAGTGATGAGTCTGAGCCATCAGTTGAGCATTTATAATTAACAGTAAACCTTCGCGTGGTTATTTGGGAAGTGACTGATGAGACACAGAGAAACTCTACCTACATTACCCCAAACTAGAAAAGCTTAACACTCAAAGTATTTGGGTCACTTGTCAATTTTTACACAAGGATAGGTTCCATTTCACCAGAGGGAATGGCTTAAAATCTGGCTTTGGCTCTAGCCTCTGAACTAATTAACTCTGACTGAGTTAATTGGAAAGCATTTTTTTTTTTACAAAGATCTGGTTCAACGTAATAACTATATAGCAAAAAGCTACATAAGCCATTAGCATAACAGAGTAGTAAAGGTTAGAGATAGTATCTGAAGTGCTCAAGGCCAGAATTGTTTCTCATCCCAGGCAATGAGATATAGCACAGCAATGGGCCCCAGGTCTAAACACAAAATTCATTTATGTTTCATATACCTTATATCCAAAATCTACAAGTAATTTTACAATAATACTTTAGATAATAATGTATGAACCATTTGTAAACACTGAATGATAGAGTTTGGCATCACATCTCTGTCAAAAAGTTGAAAATTTGTGCACTTCATATTTAAGATTTTTAGATTATAGATGCTCAGTCTATAACAAGTTTCGTATTATTTTAGGAAACTAATTTAAGACAAGGCCTCACTATGTAGCTCTGTGTAGCCTAAACCTCTCACAGAGGAGGGTGGCCTTACACTCCCAGAGGTCCATCTGCCTATGACACCTGAGTGCTGGGATTACAGCCAGTGAAACCATGCTTGGTTTGAGTTCAACATCACCAACATTATAAACCTGGAATAAAACCAACTATTTAAGGGAATAAAAAACATTTGAAACTTCTGGTATTTCAAGTACAAATCAAAGGATAAAAAGATTAGATTCACTCATCTGTTTTTGTAACATAAATGCAGTATAAGCATTTAAAATGGTTGATGGTTTTATAAGTTCCAGAAAATTACATTTTTTTTTTTTTTGTAATTTGGCTATCAAAGACATGTCTGTTTTATAGGATTTGATAAGAATGAGAAAAAGTAGGAGGAAAAAAGAGGTAAAAATCAAATTGGCAAGTTTCAATTTATTTTATATGTCAATTTTTAAACAATGGTCCAAATTCTAATTTTTTTGGAGGAACATACCTAAACATAATAAAAACAATATACACCAAACCAACAGCCAACATTAAACTAAATGGAGAGAAACTCAAAGCTATTCCTCTAAAATCAGGAAGACAAGGATGTCCACTCTCTCCATATCTCTTCAATATTGTACTTGAAGTTCTTGCTAGAGCAATAAGACAACAAAAGGAGAGCAAGGGGATACAAATTGGAAAAGAAGAAGTCAAACTTTCACTATTTGCAAATGATATGATAGTTTAAATAAGTAACCCAAGAAATTCTACCAGGGAACTCCTACAGCTGATAAACACCTAAAAAAAAAAAAAAAAAAAAAAAAAAAAAAAAAAAAAAAAAAATCAATAGCCCTACTATACACAGACGATGAATGGGCAGAGAAAGAAATCAGAGAAACATTACCCTATACAACAGTCCCAAGCAACATAAAACATCTTGGGATAACGCTAACCAACCAAGTGAAAGAACTTTGAGTTTTTAAAGAAAGAAATTAAAGAAGATACCAGAAAATGGAAAGATCTCCCATGTTCTGGGATAGGTAGGATCAACATAGTAAAACTGGCAATCTTGCCAAAAGCAATCTAGATTCAATGCAATCCCCATCAAAATCCCAACACAGTTCTTCACAGACCTTGAAAGAACAATACTCAACTTTATATGGAAAAATGAAAGACCCAGGATAGCCAAAACAACTCTGTACAATAAAGGAACTTCCAGAGGCATCACTATCCCTGACTTCAAGCTCTATTATAGAGCCATAGTCCTGAAAACAGCTTGGTATTGGCACAAAAATAGACAGGTAGGCCAAGGGTATCAAATTGAAAACCCTGATATTAACCCACACACCTATGAACACATGATTTTTGACAAAGAAGCTAAAGTTATACAATGGAAAAAAGAAAGCATCTTCAACAAATGGTGCTGGCATAACTGGATGCAGGTGTGTAGAAGCCTGCAGACAGATCCATGTGTATCACCATGCACAAAACTTAAGTCCAAATGGATCAAAGACCTCAACATAAATCCAGCCACACTGAAGTTCTTAGAAGAGAAAATGGGAGGTACCCTTGAAGGAATTGGCACAGGAGACCACTTCCTGAACGTAACACCAGTAGCACAGACACTGAGATCAACAACTAATAAATGGAACCTCCTGAAACTGAGAAGCTCCTGTAAGGCAAAGGACACAGTCAACAAGATAATTTATTTATTCTTTTAAATTTCATTTTACATTCCAACCAGTTCTCCCTCCAACCCCTCCTCCTGCCCCCCACCTCCTCCCAGTCCACTCTTCTTCACAGGTGAGGGTCCCATGAGGAGTCAACAAAGTCAAACATGTCATTTTTATACAATAATTCCACATATATGCATGTGTATGAATTATATTAAAATACATTATGAATTTTAATATTTTATTCCTAAAGTTCTTGCATTTTAATAACCATATAAAGATGTATCCATAGCATTTATACATTATTAAACTCTTTGGAATGTAAGGCACTATAGTAACAAATATAATTTAAAAAACACAAGGGGGAGATTGCTGGAGAGATGGCTCAGAGGTTAAGAGCTCTGATTGCTTTTCCAGGGGTCCTGAGTTCAATTCCCAGCAACCACACGGTGGCTCACAACCATCTGTATTGAGATCCGGTTCCCTCTTCTGGCCTGCACTCATACACGAAGACAGAGAACTCTGTATATATAATAATAATAAGCACAAACATAAACAAACGACTCCCTCCCAAATCAAACAAACAAAAAAACCACAAAGGGGGACTGAAGAAATGGCTCAGTGGTTAAGAGCACTGTTTTTTTTCTGAAGGACTCAGGTTCGATTCTTGTTACCCACATGACAGCTCACAATGGTCTAATTCAAGTCCTAAGGGATCCAACACGCTCTACTACTGGCCTCAATAGGTATTGCATGCACATGGTACACAGACATACATGCAGACAAAATACTCATACATATAAATGATCTCAACACATATGTTATATGCCACTGCATATGTGTTTAAATAGAGAGTAAGTATAATTTTTTAAGAACACAGAGAAGGGAAAATTCATTAAGGTCTATTTCAGAAAGTAATGGTATTAACCATCGAGTTACTTGTTGATTATCAGGAAATGACATATTATCTGCTTCATAGGCTAAAATGCAACTAGTTTTATTAAACCAAAAATGAATAACAGTTCCATGCTTTATTAACTTTATTAACAACTCAACTTATAAAAATGTAATGGAATTAGTTTAAATACTCCACTGCCTTTACTTGCTATCCACTAACCCAGCATAAGGCCAAGATGTTACTGGAAAGAAAAACAGTATTTAACTAATGTTTGCCTTTTGCCATAAAGATAAATTTAACTTCACCAAATATTTCTAGGATCTCACATTTATTGTTGTTCACTCTATCTCTCACCTCAAAAAAAAAAAAAAAAAAAAACTTTCATTTTACAAAACTGACCTGTCTACTTCGTCTCGAGCCACAATGTCTCCCTTCTTTAAGGCTTTTATAGCAAACATTTCATTTGTGTGCTTATATTCAGCCAACAGCACCTGAAATAAGATTAAAATAATTAATTTTCATTTGACTTACCAATCTTGTATGTACTCCTAAATTTTCATGGATTACCTTTCCAAAATGTCCTCTTCCCAGCACAGCACAGCACCTGAAGTCTTGCAGATTGAACTGAAACCTTGGTTGAGATCTAAAATAGTAATAATTAAAAGTGAGGCAACTACAGAAGAAGTATACATCAGCAAGGCAATGCACCTGCTTGTGCCTTACCTTTGTTCCTCTCGGACACTCCAACAACTTTGACCTGAGTCAGGAATGTCAAGCTCATATTCAGATTTGGATTTTGGACGCATGTTACTTCTGTCATTCTCAATATCAAAAACAGTTTTTGAACTCTGTAAAATATCAAGTGCTCATAAGCTAGAGGAATCTCCAGCAAAACAAACAAACATTATTTCATAATCATAAAGTTTAAGAAACAATTCCAAAAGCATTAGAGAAGAAGTTTCAGACTTGGTTAGTTGTTCTTATAGAAAAAACAAAACCATGAAAAAAACAACATATTATCTTCCAATTTATGCAGCTTATTGCATCCCCTTTGGCCTGTGAGAATACAGAGGCTAGTAACAGTGTTCCAACATGAAGAAAGTGGCCAACTCCCATCAACTTCATCTCCTTGAGAAAATTTACTCATAAAAAACCAAACAACCCCCCACTCAAAACAACAATAACAACAACCAAAACAAAACACTAAACTCAGAGTTCATATTGGCAATTTTAATTGAAATGTACACTTTTGTCACTACGATGCTGATACTGTTAAGAAGGCATTGCAGAAGGAAGGGTTAGAATACTTGCCTGTCCAGGTATATCCAAAACTCTCACTTCGGAAGACTCATCTATCTCTCCAAGGGAAGACGCACGTGGTGGGGCTGGAGGAGGTTCAGGTTCAAGATCAAAGTCCAATTTGGTTACTGTAGAATCACTTTCAGAAGACAAAGCAATTTACCAAAACAGCAATCAAAGTCTTTATTTTTAAGTAGCTGCAAAATAAAAGCAAACTAACTTCTTTTAAACAAGTAGTGCAGTATTTTCACAATTCTACTTGGAAAAGACTGGGACTTCATATAGCAGCTGCTGTAATCATGTTATGGTGTCACGGTAATGGCCGTGTAAGACATACTTAAGCCTTCTAAGACATATACCTGGCTGGAGGTGCTAGTTCAGAGATGCGTGCATCAACCACGGGTACTGTAGCAGGCACAGGAGTCTGAGGGCTGAATGTGCCAGAATGATTTACTGTGGGAATAGCTCGTCTCACTAGCCTTCCCCACGTGGCAATATTAATATTCATTTGAGGAGCTCTGAGAAATGTTTTGCCTGTAGATAAAGTGAATAACGAAAGCAAGATATGTAATTCCTTTATATATTACCAAAAGCCATAATTTAAAAAAAACCCATATTCATCAGTTTATAATTTATGAACAAATAAATTTTGTAATTTAAAAACTAGTTCTCTAGTTCTCAGCTTTTGTTTTTTTATTAAAAGTTAGCATAAATATCTCAAATAATTTTAAAAAGCAGATAAAGTTTGGATTTTTTTTGTAACTCTAGAAGTTTGGTGTCATTAGTTTAAGGCATCTATGGTAATGAACAACAGGACTCAGTGATATCTGAGTTTGCTTCAAATAAGCTCAGAAAGCAGCGAGTGGGTGGGAAATGAGGACAATCGTGTGTTATTATTACTGAAACTCAGTGATGAAGCCAGGCATGGTGGTGCATGCCTATAATCCAAGCACTTGAGAGACAAAGGCAGTGAGACCATGTTTAGATCAGACAGCATAATTCGAGGTCACACAGGCTACTAGATGGTCTCAAAACCAAATAAAACAAAACAAAGAAATGGAGTAATGGATTCTATTATTAAGGTTATATTTAAAAACTACTTAAAAATGTTAGAAATGGACACTAAAAAGAAAATGCCATTCCTTTTAGAATGACAGCTAGATTTTCTATAAAAGGCTGCATTATATTCTTAGTAATTACCTTGCTGTTTTGAAAAAATTTTCTTTTGTCTTTGGAGTTTTGGTCTTCTTTCAATAACTGGATTAAAAAAGGTAACCTGTAGTGAAGAAAACCCTAGTTGACATGAAAACTGTAAGGATTATGTTTTGTGCAATCTACTAGACTCCTAAGTTTGAGAACTTAAGGGGTATATTATCTATAACTTACTCCAACCCCTTCATTTTGCAGACGAGAACACAGACCTAGAGAGGACAAAGGATTGTTCTCAAGGTCACACCCCTAATGTGCAGCAGAGTGGCAGAGTTGAAGGCATTCATCTTTTGACATAACACTCTTGCCCCTTCCACAGCATGCTGCTGACACACACAATTTCTACTACAGTTATGCGCATTAAATAAAATACATTTATTACCTCTGCAAACAAAGTACCCTGTGGTTCCAAATAGAGACACATGCCATGCCGCTGGTTGTCTAAAAAATCTTCTAACCTCAGAAATTTTACAGCACACAGAGATCGCCAATCACGCCAATAAACTGAAATTTCCAGTTCACGTGACTAAGATAATCAAAAAAAAAACAAAACAAACAAACAGAAAAGACATCATTGGACACACACTTGAATAAAATATCACAAAATATATGAAATACAAATACAGTAAACAAAGTACACACCCAAATCACACTTTAAATAAAACTGTAATTTTTTCAATTATATATCACTTTTATCAAACTTACAAATTTTAACTTAAACTTATATTCAGATAATCTCTGCTAATGCATTCCTAAAGTTCAAGGCCAGAACACACACTGAGAACAATCAATAACCAGAGAAACTTCACACCCCCTTAGAACTGCAGTCTAAGTTCAGGTTTCTCTTCTCCAAATACTGTTGACTGCTGTCCTGCTGCTAGAATGCTCCAGTGACTCCCTCAGAAACTCATGTCAACACCCATTTCTTTCACCCACTACAGGGCCAGAGAAGGTCTGGAATGGCTTCCCTTCTGCACTCATGTGTGCCGGACACTATAAGAACATCAGGTCATTGACTTTTCAAAAGATTACCACAAGGCAGTAAGGCTGGTGACCACAGCACTCACTCTGTGTCAAGTGTTAGGAAGGTGGGGTTCCTTAATCGCACAGTAACCCATGCTTCCTATAGAAAAATGTTCATTTGCTATCATCTAAAAAAGACATATAAAAAATTAGTAATGACTTGAATATCCAGACCATAAGAACAAGTAAAGTATATATGATTTCACATCCACATAAGAGAGTACACTGTGGTCGTTAAAAATAATGTTTACATATAAAAACATACTTAAGGTTTTGACAACTTACTACTAAATATACCTTAGACAATAGTTTGTATTTTGGGATCAAGTCATGAACTGATTTTTGAAATATAATTTATGCACATTTTAATTGGAAAGTGCCAGTTTTGTTTTTAGGAATTATGCAGATTACCCACAATAAGATACAAATGTATTTCCCTTTAGGTTCTACAATAAATTACTTCTTTTATGTAAGAATTTTCAATTTGTGAAACTGCATCTTATTATGTAAGCTCTTAGTATACATGCATAATAGATTTTTTACTTTAAATTATATAACTAGTTGATGAAAATGAAAACGTATAAAAATGCAATATGAAATAAACATGAGTCAAAACAGAACATGTCAGAAGTACTCTGTTACCTTATGGTCTGAAGTGTCAGTCACCCCCAGGGCCCTGCTTTAGGAGGGGGGCTTGAGTGGTAAAGGAACACATTAGGAGTGAGTAGCTGAAGGATATATTTGTATTCTGTCCTTTTTCCTTCCTTGCTTTCTGGCTGTCAGGAGGTGAGTAGCCTTCCTCCTTTGTATGCTATCACCATGTCTGCTTTACCCTGAGTCTAAAAACAACTGGAACAAATGACTATGAACCCCAAACTATGAAACTGTAGGCTAAAGAAAACCTTTTCCTCCTTTGAGATGATTTTTCTCATGTGTTTTGTCATAGTGACAGGGTCTGGTTAATACAGACTCATTACTAGCAAGAGAAAGGATCAGAAAATAGAATTTTTCATATGTGATCCCAGGATCTCATCTCATTTCTGACTCAAAATTAATATGGCAAAAATACCTTGGACTAAAAAGTGAGAGAGAGAGAAGGAGGGAGGGAGGGAGGGAGGGGGGGAGAGAGAGAGAGAGAGAGAGAGAGAGAGAGAGAGAGAGAGAGAGAGAGAAAGAGAGAGAGAGAATTAATGCTATTTATATTCTATTAGAAGTTTAAGAATTTTAGGAGCTGGAGAGATGGCTCAATGGGTAAGAGCCCTTGCTGTACAGGCACAAAGTCCTGAGCTGTCAAGCGTGGCTGTGGTAACTAATAACCCCAGTGCTGAGGTTGGGAAGGGGTAACAAGAGGATTGATGGGGCTCACCAGCCAGCCAACCTAGCTAAAAAATGATGCGCTCCATGTTTAGTAACAAACCCTGTCTCAAGGGAATGAGGTAGAGAGTAATAGAACAAGATTCCTGGTGACTCCGTGTGTATACATTGGTGACCATGTAAGCACATGCATAGGTGAGTATACACATACACGCAAATCACATGCATACACAAGGGTTAAATATTTTAGAATTAGTTTTACAAATACAGGAAGAATAAACTGAGGATTGCTAATTTAAATTTATTTTTTTCTTTTTAAATCACGAGAATGGAGGTTTACTGGCTCCTATCTTCCTCCATTGTTTTGAGCAGGAAGACTAAGGATCAAGATGATATATGAGGCAAAAGCTTACAGAGCAAGCACACTGCGGGGGCACAAATGTTAGTGAAGGAATTACTGCTGTTTGTTCTTCACACTGCTGAAGCAGTGGGACTATGTGGAGAGCTGCCCCAGTCACTTCATTTTGCTAGCCATTCTAGTGAGTCTATGAAACTAACTTCTTAATTGATTTCTCCCCCTGTCTCTAGTCTGTGTGCCAAACTGAAATTAATCAGGGATCTGAGATTTAGTACGGAGTGTGAATTCACAGAGCTAAGATAACTTTCTTGGAGTTCTACAAAGTTTCAGGGACAAGAACCTTTACTTTTTGTCCCTTTGCAGTGTTCCCTGTGAACACTTCCCAAACTAAGTGGTTATCTATGACCTAAAGATACTACTAGTGCTCTATAACTTATACCAGTTTTATGTCAGTTTTCTTTAACCTCTAACACCCAGTGTAATTTTGGAAAGTTGGCTACAGATATAGAATCTGAGGCACAAAGCACCATACAGATCAACTATGCCTTTCACATTAAAGAGACACCACCACTGTGTATAGAATGCAAACTACAGGTGAGTTTTAAAGTGCAAGGGCTTACAAGTCATTTCAAAGGACAAGAGAAATACAATCTGGATACAGTACAATTCAAAAAGGCTGGGCAATACAACCTGAGTTAAGCATTAACTGGCAATACTGGCTAACTAAACAGCTCCTACTTCATTTTGTTTTATTGTGAATTTAAATATAGAATAAAAGAAAACTGTAGGGTGTTAATGAAGAATCTGTGTGGCTTATCACTCTAGGGCTAGAATATAAATAGAAAAGACACGAGGCACTGGTCACATTGACAGGTAGCTAAGGTAGAAGTGTAACAAATACAATACTGCATTGCAATTAAAACAAAAAAAGACGCACATCTAGCGCAGAGAGGCATGAGGAAGGATGCATTTGCAAACGAATGCTGAGGGCCCAGGGTGCTGAGGATACCCTAACTAACCTTTCAGAGGGACACAGGGACGTCTGTGCTGCAGCATGACAACCACCAGGTGAGGTTTGTGTACACTTTCACTATCAACACTGCTATGTCATTCTTGTGGCATGAAATCTTTACTAAGCTTCCTTTTCAACAAAACAAAAAGAAAATGAAAACAAAACAAAAAAACATATACAAGAAGAAATGAGGGTCTGTTTGATTCCAAACTTTGGAAAACTATATTTTGGACAATACTTAGACATACTATTTATTACTTGTAATTAAATAAGAACTAAATTAAAGCATTTAACATTGTTCCCCCAATATTGACTTTCTAGGGCATAAATACAAATACAAATTAATAATTACTTATTGTTTTGTTTTTAAGATAGGCTCTTACTATGCATATCCCAGGCTGCCCTTGAATTCTCCTGCCTCGACCTTCTAAGCACTGGGATTACAGGTACATTTCATTTGGCACTTACTTCCTAAGAAAGGCAACCATGGGATATTTATTTATTTTTACGTTTTGGCCTATAGAGACACTATGAGAAACTTACTCAAATAATGAACTGTGAAAGTTCGAAGAGCTTTGCTAAAGTAAAGGAGAATGAAATTTCAATGATGAAAAGAAAAGGCAAAAAAGCAAACTCTTTGTCCTAAAGTTAAAAAAAAAAAAAGTTCAGTTTTGGATTCATAAGATAAGGAATGGTGAGATTTTTACAAGGACACATGTAACGATTATGTATTTACTGGTCTTCAGTGTGTTTTTGCAGCAAGCAAGCAAGCAAATGGCATACTAAAAAAATTTAAAGAGAGTTAAATAAAACTTTATTAAGATGTTATTAAAGCTAAAGAACAAAGAATGAGAACATGAGTACTTAGCCAGAGCACATGTCATGACCACTCTTAGGATAAAGGAATAGAGAGTCAGTAATTATCAGAATCCAGTGAGCATGGATCTTGACAAGAGGACCACCCAGAAGGAGTGGTCACCATAGATGAACACTGCTGTGAAAAGCAAGGCCAAGAAGTGAAGGAGACAGGGAGTGCACACTAACTTTCCCATGCTCCTGCTGCCTCATCTACCAGTATTTCTTATTCTAGGACACCCTTCAGTAATTCAAGAACTTCACTGTTATGTAGAACAGGGAAGGTAGAAGCCTGGAGGAAACAGTAATACCTGGTTCTCTCTGGGAGTCCAATGAGGAGATTCTACAGCTGGAAAAAAGAAAAAGTGACAAGAGGGAACAAAGGGCAAGACACAGGGACAAAGAACAATTGAAGGTCATGATTTATGCATGAAAAGTCAGCCTGCCACAGAGGCACTGCCTGCTCCCTTGTAGGGAAAGAGGCAGGCAAAGAACTTGAACTAAATGAACTATTAAGTCTTACAAGATTATAAGTTATGCATAACCCTTTCCTATGGCAGTTCACACACTCTTCCACAGCCTTCCTTTCATTCCAAACTTACACATCGTTCTGTCTCTATACACTCATTGCTCCTATTTCTAAACCTGAATATATTTCACAAACAAAACCAGTAGACTTTCCTACTGGTCTTCCCCTAATGGCAGTCCAACTGCCTCCATTCATCAAAGTTAGACTAAACACCCATTTGTCATAAAGGTGCTCTGAATAACTTCAGCCCCCTCTCTTTACTTTTTAGATGTATCTTACTCATTCTTCTAGAAACTTGGATTCTATAATCTGCATTTCACAATTATAACCGACTCTGGAAAACTCACATACATGCCCACCCTCTATTCCTTCATTCTGAATTCTACTTAGTGTGTGGCCTTCTTCTATCCTTCATTTGTCTTGGCCTATTTTTCTTAAGTTAAAAAAAAAAAAACCTCTTGTTTTATACTCCATATAACTTCTTTAGCTCTATCACAGAGCCATTTGTCCTCAATTTCAAACATAACATTGGTCACTTTTATAAGTTCTATTAGTTCTTCCCATGGGCATGAACAAATAACCCATCAAATAATGGCCAATAACAATTTATTTCCTGCGTCCTGCCAATTATATCAAAATGAAATCTATACATCTTCGATTTCATTTTGTTCTTTTAAAACTGACTACTAATTTTGGTTCATCATTCATTATTCAGTTCGTTAAACATTTAAACATTAACTTTATATTCTTTATCTTAATCCCATTACCTATTTTTGCTTAACATCATTATATTCTCATCTATTTTCAAATTTTGGATAAAGGCTCATGTTGATTAGATTATGATCCCAAACTATAGTTTTTTATTTTGCCACAAACAATTTATTTTTAATCTTAGGATCTTTAATGGAAGACACACTTCTAATTCTTTTTCATTTCTCTTATAGTAATTTTATCTCAATGGAATAAGACAGAGAAATAGATGACACAGGATGTTCTACTCTGGCCTCTTAGCATGGACCTATGTCAGCAAGCACTGATATGTGTGAGTGCGCACATGCACACACACACATCCTACACAAATGTTAAAAAGTTTACGAGTGTATCACTGAATGACTAAACAGTGCCAGGATAATAATAATAATAACACACACACACACACACACACACACACACACTGAGGCAGTCTTTCCACCAACATTAATGTAGTCCATCCTGACACCCATCTTAGGGACAGCAAGACAAACGGGCAGCAGTAAACTTATACACCTCACCACACTATCAGACAATTAAAAGACAGCAAATAGACTCAAAGATTGGCTTGTTCTCTGTCCTTCAAAGTCATGCAGCATAGTCAATCTCTTCTCTAAGCATCTGGCAAACACTATTACTTGACTAGAATTATCTCTGTAAACCAGGACCTGCCCAGGAAAGATCCTTACAGATGCTCTCCAGTGAGTTAAGACACAAACTGGAACCCCACTGATACTCCTAGTCAAACTCTCCCTACTCACTCCTCCTCTAACTTCAAAGACAGTCAAATCTTTGCTAAAAGTTTCTAGTAATAAAAATACTCATTTCCCTTGCTTGCCCACATGTAACGGCACATTTCACCATATCACCACTCTGGCAATTCTTTATTGGGTAAGCTTAAGTATAATTAATGCTCTAGGTACAATCATGCATTCAATACTGCCCTCTCACTGCCCCCTTTCTACTTCTGGGATACTGCTTATGAGAGATTGTTTTGTGTTTTTCCACTGTGGACCGACTAGTAGTAGCTGCTATAACAGACAGCATTTCTTTTTATCAGATCATTTACTGTAGTAAACCACAGATCGAGCACCTATTAAAAACCTACAGGCACAGTTGAACACTTGGGAATCAGAGGCAAGAAGACCAAAATGATCTAAAAACAAAACAAAAAACACCCCCACTACAACCCCCCCCCAGCAATAAAAAAACCCAAGACAAAACAAAGACAACAGCAACAACAAAAAGACTTTCCCCTCGCTTCTATCCTATAGCCTATAACTATAACTGACAGTGTGGCACCTCTCTGCCTCTGCTATTTTACTTCCCATTACACCTCTATCTCTCTCTCTCTCTCTCTTTTTTTTTTTGCTGGCAAGTTATTTGTTTCTTTTTTTGGAATACTCTTTGGATCTTAATAATCTGTCTATGTGTTCCCACACCAGGTCCCAGGTTAAGTATAATTTCCACTGTCTATAGTAGTCCCTCACTTCTGACCTGTTATACACAGCTCTATGTCCCTCACTTCTGACCTGTTATACGCATCTCTGTTCCCTCACTTCTGTGCAGATTTTAAACTGTTTGCTAGTTATCTTTGACTGTTTTGACCAATCCCAGCCAGCAATAAGATACTTGGCAAAAATGTAAAATCATGACTAGCAAGCCTGTGAGTTACATTGTAACTATGTATCTCTGGAAACCTATGTCCTATAAAATGCCTGACACAGATAAGCTGCTGAGTAGATACACAAAGACAGGTCTTACAGATGGATGGGATTCCCTTGTGATCTCTAGCTAGAAGAACTTAGAACCTACCCTAGAACATACCTTCTCCAGTATAATTATTTTCAAACCCTTGTGACATCATTTTCTGTTCTATTTTCTTGCTCTGGATTCAGATCCACTTCGTTATTAAGTTTTATTAGTTTGCCTCTTATTTTTTACATAAATCTTCTTTCTATTCCTACTACCATAATTTAGCTCATCTCTTCCTACCTTATGGTTATATTTCAGTAACAGATATCCACCAATCTACATGCCTTCCAACTCTTCTCCCTCACATTTATTCTTCACATACATCCCAAGGTCAAATCTTCTTGTATGAATTTTCCAAGCACACTACCACAAAGTATGAATAGCATAGTCATTGTCTTTTGAGATGAAACCATAGAATAAAGATAAGTCTTCAGAAACAGGGTAGTAGACTATACAAATAGTTCTGTGTAATAGTGAAGCCTGGAACTAATGAGATATATACTGAAAAGCTGGTGAAGTATACATTTCTTAAGAGAACCTGAGAGACTTGTTTATGTTGTTCACTGTTAATCTGCACCTGGAAGTTCTGGGATGCAACAGTAATCAATAAATACTTGATTAAATAGGAGCATACAATAAATGAATGACTCTGAACTGAGGTGAAAGTAACATCTGCTGAACATCAGTCTGGTGCATACATACAGAGATAAGTTAGATTACTTCAGTAAGTAGTGAACACTGAGTTCTCACCACGTCTCTAAAAAATGTATGGATTTAGTCGCCACATATCACTGAAGTGTAATACAGAAAGGTTAAATACCTGAAAAGTTATCTGACAGATATAATTTTTCAGGCAGTAAAAGCAACAATATGTCTGAATCAGGATGCTTACTTTGAAGATAAAATCAGATAAATTACAGAAACATTTTATAGGAAGATGCTAGAAGTGTAAGTGGGAGCACTTCTATAGCCTACAGTAATCTCCTCAGGCAACATACAAATGCTTTCTTTCACTCACTGATATATGTAACTTTAAAAAAGCATAGATATTGTTTGTTGATCATTACATAGTAAAATCTATGACTTTAATTTTAGATCAAAACACAATAAAGATTGACTATTTTTCTCCTAGACTAATGGATGGATTTAAATCTAAAAGTTATCTTGAAGATCTGAATGTAGTGTTGACTTCTGTTGTTAAACAGAAACAGATCATTTATGAAAGGCATATTGACACACTGACACCTGGGAAAACAGAGGATAATTTCAAAGTCACTTTTGCAAATCTTGCTATGGAAGAATCACTGCAGTAACAAGATTGCATGCTATTGAACACATATAGCTGTGCATGCAGTGGCAGAGTGCTGCAATACAAGCACAGATTGAGAAGGAATACTGGTAATTGAGCCAACTAGGGCTACCCCAGCGCTAACAAACATACTCTGTATGCACATATATATATTCTGGTACTGGATTTCACACCACAGACTTTTCTAGTTGACAAAAACTATACATTTTCAAATTATTGAAAATTGAAGCTATTGAAGCACTCAGATATATACCTATATCTTAAGACGAATGGATATACATCCCTCCGATGAGTAATGCCAGAAACATGTAAGCTCTTCTACTTTTACAAACTTTGTGAACCTGTGTGGTGGTGTATGCCTTTAATCACAGAGGCAGGAGGACCTCTGTCAGAGGCCAGACTGGGCATATAGTAAGACCCTATCTCAAAACACAAAACAATGTAAACAAAACTTCTTAAAGACTTCCAATAAATAAACGTTATACTATTTTCAAGTAAAAAAATTCTTATCTTACCCTGTCTAGTTCCAGTGTAAACTTCTGGTCCCACGACTGATTGGAAATAGGCTTCCAGCTAGTTTGACCAACCACAGTATTATCTAGCTTCAAAACAGCACAGACATCATCTGTAATTAGAATTTGTAAGTTTGGTTAAAAACTTTATGGTGGCACATGCCTTTAATCCCAGCACTCAGGAGGCAGAGGCAGGCGGATCTCTATGAGTTCGAGGCCAGCCTAGTCTCCAGAGCGAATGCCAGGATAGGCTCCAAAGCTACACAAAGAAACCCTGTCTCGAAAAACAAAACAAAACAAAACAAAACAAAAAAACCAAAAAAAAAACCCAAACTTTAAACAGTTCAAAGACAGTTATCACTGTTTCATAGCACCAAAAGTCTAAAGACTCTTTGAAAATGCTTTTTTTATAATCAATATTGAACTGTCTGAAGTTTAATTAGCTCTATTTTGTGTATGTGTGTGTATGTATGTATGTGTGTGTATATATATATATATATTCCTAATAATTCCTCCAACATTTTCTGTTTCTCTTAAAAGCACAAACAGTAAATGGTATTTTGCATATGTACAAATGTAATTCAACTACCCCTATACCTGTATACATATTAGCCATTTGATTGTTTAGATAGTTCTTTATTTGCACACCTCTTCCAGTTCCCTCTAAACACAAGAAAGCTACTTCTGTATTCTCCCAGAATGCACTGTCATCTGCCTTCCCTCTCACTATATGCTTAGGAACAGTTTGTTATATACTAGGAGATCCTCAATGTGTTCCCAAATCTCTTATTTTTGCTTTTGCAACCATGAATACATCCCCTCCCAAAGCTGATCACTCGGTCACTATTTATCCCAGCACACATCTCATCCAATAGCTATTTACCAAAAGTTCAGTTTGTAATGGTCACCAACCATTAAAAGAACCAAGATGGAGTCTACTAGGAAGAAAAGACTCAGTGTCTGTAGCCCTTCATTTTGGTATAAAGAGTGATGTTCAATTTGAAAGATGTTACATTCTTTCAAATGACTTTGTTAATTGTCACATAATCTCATTCATTTTTAATAGAGCAAAATGTGTTGTTTTTCTATTTCCTATATAAATTTATATTTTTTTAAAATTATGGCAAATAAAACTTGTGGTCCTATCTGGACACTTCCCATTTGTGTCTGCCTCCATTGACAAGCCCCTTTAATCTGTGGCATGCATGATCTTAAAAAGCATGATTACTGAACTGGACAAGTCATCGGTTTTCAGGAGATTGCGGCTACTTCCACTTTTGCTTTTACTAGTTCTGCTCATAAAAGATGATCTGTTTTCGCTTGGACTCCATCCGGGCAGTGCAACTGACGTTGCTTTTGACCGTCCAGGGACATTCTCTAGGATATCTTGGCACCCCATAAGACGGACTTCCAAAGTACCTGTTAATAAATAAATATAAGAATATAATGTAATATACAAAGCCATGTTAGTTATCTGTGCAGAAAGAGGAAGATTTGTTAAACTAACAAAAGCTCTTCTACAGAGGATCTGTGAGGAATCTACCACCCTTCTTCATACACTCAAAGAAACAACTGAAAACTCTTAATCATAGCAACTGCAGTATCTGATAACCTGTTCTGACCTCTAAGTGAACAGCTTGGGTGTGGTACACAGACATATAAGACGACAACACCAAAACACATATAAAAAGTACATCTAAGAATGTTGTCTCCATGTTCAAATTTTAGACAGTACAAATATTTTGGGAAGATTGTTTTCTAGTAGAACTGCCCAGTTAAATTTTTAAATGATTAATATCTAAAGTTTTTAGTTACTAAAAAGGTACTGAAAATCTTACATTTTTCAAATAAGAATTAAAACAAACCCTCCCAATTCAAACAATTAAAACAATCAGACAAAAATCTTTGAAAGTGTTAAGATGCCAGGCCACAGGCAATGAAGCACAGTGATCCCTGAAGGAGTAGAAACAAGCCCTAAGTCTGCTTGTCAGACTACCCCAAGAGGTTTCAGAACATTCTACACTCAGGGGGAACCCAGAGCATGAAGAGACAAAGGCATCTAGAGACTCCTTAGATTTTCAGGTTTCCCTTATAACACATCCACCCAGGTACTAATCAGTCCCTGCTTGAGAATGAAAAAGTAGAGGCAGGGAAGGAAACCATGGGACAAGACTAGAAAGAACAATATTCTGTATACAAAGGTAGGAACAAGTGTCCCTACCAACAATAGAAAAAATTCAATTTGCCGCATACTATAGAAAGAATTTTGTTGCAACAGTAAAAGGTGACTACTCCCAAATGACATTCTTTTGTACATAGCAGACCCTAAAAACCATGCATACAAGATTAAATTATTCCTGGGTATCTGCATACTAGAACAAAGCTTAAGGATGCTTAATCAACAACTCAAAATTTGCAATGCCTGCTATCTAATCACAGATTACCAGGTAAGTTTATTTTGTATTAGTTCATTAAAAATTAACATGTAGTGACTTAGACTTCAATATTACAGTTAGTACACAAGGACATTAAAACAATTACATCTATATTCCATCTGTTCAAAGGTTGAATAGAGACATGGAAGAAATGCAAAAGCTTCAAAGTATTAAATTTCTAGAGAAGGAAAAGACAATGTCTAAAATTTGAAACTATGTAGTGGACAGAACTAGTGGCTGATTAAGCACTGCAAGAGAAAAGGTTGCCTGAGTTAAAGACAACAGCGTCAGAAAGGATTAATACACCAGGGAAAAGAATAACACTTATGTGAACCATGAATTTAACTTAGACAGAACCACAGAAGTTTAAATGAAGTTCCCAATAAAAAGCAGACAGAATGGGTATCAGAAATATGTTTTTAAAAAGTGGCTAAAGGCTCTCAAAATTATATGAAAATTAGAAGGTAAAGAAGCTCAGTGAATACCCAATTAGAGAATCATAAAGTGTATCATATTTTAATTTCTTTTTGGTAAACAGGAAGCAGGGCAGAAAGCAAGGAGAAAATAACACCAGATACAGAAGAACAGAGATTAGGATAAGAGTAGGTTTCTCACTGTAAACAGAGCAGAACTACTTTCAATATACCTGAAACACTCTTAAAATACTGCCGAAAAAGTGATATGTATTTACTTTAAAAAGTCATCACACATTATACTTAAGATGGATGAATCCTTCTGAATAAAAATGCAGTAGCAAACTTGCTAAGGTGGCAAGGAGAACAGTTACCTTTTTTCAAGTTTGTTAGGCTGTGGAGCAACAAGACAGTTTAAGCAGAGTGGCTATCTTTTTGTTGTTGTTCAAAAGAAACAACTTGTGCTTGTGTTTTGTTAAACAATGGCAAACTCTCCTCATTTCCAGTGTAAATAACTCAGCTGTAAAAGTTATCCTGGGGAAACTGAAAACATCTGGTTACTACTTCAAATCCTAGTGGCTTATTAAATATTTCAGTAATTTCAATGTATCAGGACATGACAATGCTCACCACCTGCTTTCATTTAGAACAAAAAAAGTCCCAGAGGGAGTTAAGATCTTTATTAAACATCTAGGCGTTTCATTCTTTTTTGACATGCCATAATTACAATTGCTTGTAACTATATCAGAAACAGGGCAAAACTACATTCTTCACCTTCCTAAGCCATATTTAAAACATGTGAGTCTAAGAGCTAAAGGTATTCATGAGCTGTTTTACTGACTTAGTATTGTAACCTGTACAATTGGGTTATAACTATTATTGCTGTTTGGAGACGAGTCCTTCTATGAAGCCCCTCCTGATCTAGAACCCTTCATCCTCCTCTCTTGGCTTCCCAGGGTTGGGACTGCCAACATGCACTACTATGCTACAGTTACAACCTTGGTACAACTGAGTAATACATTATAAACAAATTCTGAAAAAAAATTATCTTTGTTAGGGCTACTACTGGTGTGATGAAAGCTACATTGGAATGAAAGAGTTTGTATTTCAGCTCACAGTTCCACAGCACAATCTATCATTGAGGGAAGTCAGGGCAGAAACCTGGAGGCAGGAACTAATGCAGAGGCCATGGAAGCTTGATGCTTGTTCAGCCAGGTCCATATGCCCAGGGATGGCACCACCCACCACGGGCTGTGCCCTTACCCACCAATCACCAATTAAGAAAATGCCCTAAAGGCTTACCTACAGCCTGATCTTAGGGAGCCAGTTTCTCAGGGAAGAGTACCTCTTTTTATATACATCTCTAACTATTGCTAAGTTGACATAAAACTAGCCAGCAAAACCAGACTAGAACAGAGAATGAAAAATAAAATTGTAGGTATATCAACTCAATCTCAAAAGTGTGGCTGTATTATTTTTCTGTCAATTATATCAATTCCCAAATACTTGAAATGCTACTTTATCCAATGAATATTTGAGAAATTCTTGAGAATAAGCACTAACCTAAAAGATCATCAAACTTAAGGCAGTAAGTACAGTAGGTACCTAATTACCACACAGTAGTTACCAGCTGTTGGTGGGATAACTAAAACGGTAGGTTGATGATGATCTCTTCACTCATCAAAGCTCTACATTCTTGTTTGGAGTTTGAAAAACTACGCATAATATTGTAAGATAGACAACATGGCAAAGACATTTAAAAAAGATAGGGGAAGATGGCTCACAATGTACTTGAATTATGAAAGATATCTATGGAGCCAGATAAGCTAGATAGGTAGACAAGTCCACAAGTACCATGGGTATGCAGAGTTTCTTTAGAGTGCTCCAAGCTTTACAGAAAACAGTTTGTTAAATAGTTCTGTATTATTAACATCCTAACAAATTAATAGCTATTTGAAAAAGCAATTCACACAACTTGAGAGTCCTTATTTCATTAAATAAGCAAGATTATTTCCTAGTAGGAGGCATTTGCTGAGCACTGCACAAACTTCGCAAACTCTGGGGTAGGTTTGAAAACTCCAATCTTAACTTCCTGTTCTACTAACTTTTCACATAGTAACAAAAGACATCTCAGCTTTACAACACAGACATCACATGTCAAAAGGACAGAGATCTAGCAGTGTGCATCCACACTCACATACATGAATGCATTAGCATACACACTCACAAAAATCCTGCAAGAAAATATCAAAACTATAAAATGAAAGGTTAGTTAGATCCCCCTATAAAAACAAAATCCAAGGCAGTCCCTAACTACATTACCTACTCAGAAGAAACGTTAATGAAAATGGCTTAAATTTCAGGGAAAGGACACTAGAAAGTAACTGAAGATTTGAAACCAAAGAAATATAATGAACACCAACAACACAAATGACACTAGTAAATATTAAAGCAAATACCATGACTTATGGTTTGTAATTACTTTTAAAATTTCTCTTGTGATTTAAAAGACAAATACATAAAAACACAATAACCTGTTAATGAGCAAATCATGTACAAGGATAATTTTGTAACAGCAGAAGGAAGGGGAAGATATACCTGTATACAACACTTCTTGTAGAGTATTAAAACACACACACAACACACACACACACACACACACACACACACACACACACACACACACACACACACACACACAAATGAATCCCTGAAAAGGCTATACAGTTTATAACTCAAGCTATAAAATCCTAGAAAAAAGAGGAATCCTTGAGTTGGGTGTGTTGGCAAATGCCTATAATCCCAGAACTTGGGAGAAGAGAAAGGAACAAATTTATAAAAAACTAAAATTTATAAAGGCAAAGGGCTGCCAGGCTTGTAGACTGGGGATGGGACAGGGATTGGCAGAACACAAAAGGGAACTAAAATGGCAAATACCCATGGCCATAGACTGGCTGTCATCTGGGTAATGTGCACATGAAGAGTGAGCTAATATAAGCTACGGACTTCAGATCATAACAATGTGTCAGTGCAGAGTCACCAATTATAAAAATCGGTGATTCATGCCTGCAATTCTAGTACTCAGGAGAATTACCAAGAGTTCAAGGCCAGCTTGGGATACAGCGTGAGACTGCTTCAAAACACTAAACCCTTAAAACACAAATGAGAAGGAGAGGAAACAAACAAACAAAAACCAATAATAAAACAGAAAACCAACCTCAAACTAAAACACACCCATGCCTATCTGGTTTAAGATGTTGAAAGTAGAGGAGATGATGAATACAAAGAAATTTGGCTTGTGAAGACTCTTCTATTTCATATTTATAACCTTTCTAAAGAACAAATTATTAATTAAAATTAATTAAATAATAAAAGAATAATGAGAGAATATGAAACTAGAAAAATCTACAAGGAGGTCATATCATAAGGCTCTAGAAAGAACCATTTGTAGAACAAACAGCAGTCTTTTGTTTAAAAATTTTAAAATCACATTGATTGTGTATGTATGTGTGCGCACATGTGAGTGTGCATACCATAGCATGCATGTGATCAGAGGACACTTATGGGAGGCAGGCTTGTTGGCAAATGTCTTTCTTTGTTTGATGAGTCATCTCCCAGGCTATCACTATGTTCTAAGACAAGGGTCTCATATTTGCGCAGGCTGGCCTCATTCTCTAGTAGATGGCTTTTGTCATATTAAAAAGAATCTTACCCTTAGTTTATGCTAAAGAGTTCTCAACCTGTGAGTCATGACCCTTGGGTTTAGCAAATGACCCTTTTCAAATGACCCTTTCATGGGTTTGCCTAAGACCTCCGGAAAACACACATATTTATAGTACAATTCATAACAGTAACAAACTTAAGTTATGAAGTAGCAATAAAATAATTTTATATTTGGGGGTCACCACAACATGAGGAACTGTATTAAAGAGTCCCAGCATTAGCATGGTTGAGAACCACTGTCCTAAAACTTCTGAACTATCTCTAGTATTGAAATCTGTTACTCACAGTGGTGTCTCAAACCATGCTGGAGTTTATGCTAACAAGGTTTCTCGCTGTAGGTCCCTAAACAGTTTCATGATGGGGATGACATTTCTTGAAAGACTAATCCCACCATTAGGGGGTTGGGGCTTTGAGTCATACGATAAAGAATGATGTCCTGACTTCCTGAGCAGGGAACTGGCTGTAGTTGATTTTACTCCCATGGCAATGATTCATTCAAACACACCCACATAATAAAGTCCCAATAAAAGTTCAGGACACCTAAAGCTCAAGTGAACTGTCCAGTTGGTGAAAAGCACTGATATGTTAGGCAGGGGGACAAATCCTAACCAGGAAAACCCTCCTAGTGCTTGCACTTTGCTTTTAGCTCAATCTACTATCTCTACCTCCCCCTCACTTGTTAAATTGATTTTTAAGGTTAGCATACAAAGCCATGAGCTTCATTACGGCATTTTCATACACGTGTGTCATTGTACTCTATTCTCTTTCACCCCCCCCCACTCCCAAGGCCCCCTGGACTGGCTCCCTTCAGTTCACCCCCCCCACTTTATTACATCTTTCATTCCTCTTTTTCTACACTCTTCATCCCTTCTCACGATCCTTTTTCTAGTTTTAGCTCTTATAAAACACACTCTTAAATCTAGGTTCTCCATATAAGAGAAAAACATGTATTTGTCTGAGTCTAATGCATATCCTTTATAATAAAACTGTAAAGTTAAATATAGCCATTCATGAGTTCTTCAGTAAACTGTCTCAGGGAATGGAGCCTGAGGCTCCGAGGATTTGTAGTCTCCTGTCAGTACAGATGACCTGGGACCTCCAAGCTTATAATTACAAGTCTGAAGTGAAGGCAAGCATATAGAATAACCCTATATTATTTAACCTAATTTCCAGTAGTTAGCATTAGAATTTATTACATATTACCAGCAGTTACTGTAATTATAAATGGATGAAACTATGTATTTAAAAGGGCAGGAAGTATAAAAGATAATCCAATTCCATCTTACCAAAACTCTCATATTAGATCCAAATATACATGTCATTGTAAGTGAAATGATAAAAAAGGGTATTTGCTACACATAGTAACCACAAGGGAGAGTACATGTCTAACCTATTATCAGACAAAATGGACTTTACATCAAATTTGTTATAAAAGACAAAAAAGAAGACTGTATATTGATAGAAGTCAATTCATGAGGAATATATAACAATTATATACTTAGATGCATCTAACAGAGACAAAAACAAAAAGTAAAACAAATACACACACACAACTGAAAGAAGAAATAGACAGCTCCACAAAAACAGCCAGGGACCTCGACCCCACCTTCAATAATGGCCCTACTAGGATAGCTATAATTTGAAAACCAACAGCAACAAAGGAAATAACAAGCGCTGGTGAGATGCAGAGAACCCTTATGCATTTGTTCAGGGGAATATTAAACTGTATGAAGTTTGATGGCTGTTCAAATTTTAAATACAAAGGAATCATATGACCTAGCAAGTGCACTCCTAGATGTGTCCTCTTAGACTGAAAACACGTGTTCAAACAAAGACATGTACACAAATGTTCATGTAGGTAACATTCACAATATCCAAATGGTAAAAAGAACACAAATATCATAACAAATGAAAAACAAAAATGTGGTATAAAACTCTAACATGAGTAAGTTTGCCATGTGAAATAAACCAGATTTAGAAGGCCACAGGGTGTATAATCCCACTTACATGAACTATCTAGGAGACAAATGTATTGAGACAAGAAGCCAATTAGTGGTGCAGGGGCCTAGGAAGAAGGGTGGGCACTGAATGAGTACTGGTTTTCTTCAGGCACGATGAAGTGTTCTAGAACTTGACAGAGGTGAAGACTGTACATTACAAGTCTCTGAATTTTAGACTTTTATAAATGTTTAGAATAAACTTTCTTTCAAGGCTGGGGAATGAATTCTTGTGCATGCTAGGCAAGCACTCTTACACTGAGTTACATTCTCACGACTTAATGTTTTTTTGTTTGGTTGGTTTTTTTTTTTGAGTCAGTGTTTTAGTAAGCTCTCCAGGCAAGTCTTCAATTTGTGAGCCTCCTGCTTCAGCATTCCAACTAGCTAGGTTTACAGGCTGTGTCATCAGCCCCAGCAAAATAACAAATTTTACTGTAGGAACCTAAACTATGATTCAAGGAAAGATTTGTACACATGTCCTTGACCCAACTATTAATCCATAATCTGATGTGAACAAAACACACAGAAAAAGAGTGCTCCATGCTACGTACCGGTTAGTGCTGCTGGTTTGGACAGTGTGCTATACTGGTTCTGCGTGGATATCATGCTCTGCCGAGGACTTAGGGTTGGTGATGCAACAAGTGAAAGCTCCTCAATGACAACACTGCTTTTGGGATGATTCTTGGGGAGTTCATTTAGCCTTTGCTCCAATGAATATTTTAAAAGGTCCAACTTCTGACTTGATTCATTAAATCTTGCTTGAGCCTTTCAAGGAAAAGAGATATTGTTGTCATCTAAGCCATATTATTCTTCAAATAGCATATTAAAGAGCTAAAAATTGTTTTTTAAAATTACTTCTGAAAGTGCTTTTCTGTCTGTGACTTTTCCTGAGCCAAGTAATTTCATGACATTCTTTGCACCTTCTGCTACTGCAAACTCTATCCTAAAATGATGCCTTAATTCTTCCATCCGAAGCTCAAGAGGACTAATCACTGGTTTTGCTAGGAGAAAAAAAAAGAAACAAAAATTTATTAATTGAATTATTTCACTTTCTAACATCTAGTCATTAAAAACTATGAAAATATGAATTACTGACATTGAGTTAGTTCCTAAGTAAATAAACACTGTAGTAATAAAAGAAGGCTGACATACTAAATGTTGTTTTAGCCATTATACGTGCAAATCACACATCTGAAAAGGATTTAGGACTGAAGACACTGGTATGTAGAATTTGATGAGATGAAAACACAGAGGTTTTTCACACCAACGAGTTCCATATTAGGAGTTCAACCACCTCCAAACAAAAGTGTTTGAGAGAGAAACACAATCTGTACTGACAATGTAAAGACCTTTTGTTCTTGTAAATACTTCTTAAACAATAGAACTATTTATAATATGGTTACATTCAACTGGGTATGATGAGCAATCCAAAGATAACATATGTGAGAGGAAGCACAAATACTCTTTTCAGATTCTATGACATGTTCCACTTAGAACTTGAGCATCCATAGATTTTGGGATCCACTGGGAACTTGAAAGCAATCTGCAGATACTGAAAGACAATTGTAGTTTCTGGCTCTATTTTTAACAATTAGCTCAAGTCCCACTGGAATAAAAAACTAAATAAGAATAATGCTAAACAAAGGAATACTTTTAAATAGCAACATGCTTCTTAAAGCATTAGATAAAATAATCCAATTTCTTATTGAAATGAGAATTATGTCCTACATGTGAAAAAACTAAGTGCAAATATCTGAAAGCAATCCTATGTAAAATTCAAGGTAGGGGCTGAAGAGATGGCTCAGAGGTTAAGAGCACCGACTGTTCTTCCAGAGGTCCTCAGTTCAATCCCAGCAACCCCATGGTGGCTCACAACCATCAGTTATGAGATCTGGTGCCCTCTTCTGGTGTGCAGATATACATGGAAGCAGAATGTTGTATACATAATAAAAAAAAAAAATCGTTACAAAAAAAAAAAAGTAGTTAAAAAAAACTCAAGGTAAACAAACAAAAATCCCCAGACCAAAACTTTCCTTCCTCCCTTAACTCTGAATAACTGCGTCTTTCTTTTCCTTTTTTTAAGTTTTGTGTTTTATTTTTTATAAGATTTTCCTATTTTATGTGTATGCACACTTTGCTTGCATATATGTATGAGCACTAGTCCACAGAGGTCAAAGAGGGTATTGAATTCCAAGACTAGAGTTAAGAGATAGATGGTTGTGAGCTGCTATGTGGGTTCTGGGAATCAAACCCAAGTCTTCTGCAAGAGCAACAAGTGCTCTTAGCTGGGGAGCTAATTCTCCAACCCCAACTGCTTCTTTCTGAATGAATTTAGTAAGCACCCCACACTTGTAAAAGACAACAAAAAGTTCAGTGTACTCCATCACCATTATCAAAAGCCAGCTCATTGGTCTGGACGGCCTGAAGAATCTGCATTCGGATGACTTCTATTTTTGTCTTACTATCCTGGAGCAGTTGCTGAGCTGTACCATGGAGTTTCCGATCCTATCAAAAAGGAATTAGAAAAGGTAAGTAGAGAAAAGGATAAATCTTTCTTATCTTTTGAGAAAGATCAACAGATAACTTAGCAACTAAAAGGGTGAAAAGAACTGTGCACATTCTAATAATAAAATTGAGTCTTTTGAGACAAAGTCATTCTGTGTAGCCTTGGAGCGCTTGAACTCCCTATGTAAACAAGGCTGGCCCAGAACAGAGACCCACCTCTGCCTCTGCTTCTACAGTGGTAGAACTAAAGATATGTGCCACAATTTCTGGCTTCTAATAATTTTAAAGAGACACAGAGAATCTTAAAGAAACACAGAGACAGACAGACACACACTATCATCAAAACATACACACACACACACACACACACACACACACACACACACACGTCATCAAAACTTTATAAAGGTTATCAGAAAAGCATCATTGGGGACTGGAGAGATCGCTCAGAGGTTAAGAGCACTGACTGCTCTTCCAGAGGTCCTGAGTTCAATTCCCAGCAACCACATGGTGGCTTACAACCATCCGTTATGAGATCTGGTGCCCTCTTCTGGTGTACATGGAAGCAGAATCTTGTATACATAATAAATAAATAAAATCTTAAAAAAAAAAAAACAGCATTATTGGTTCAGACAGTTAAAGAAAAGAAGTGACTGACTGATACATTGCTGGGGACTGAACCCCAGGATTTTATAATAGGTGTGTGCTCTATCACTCACTCAGCTACACTTGCAGCTAGGTATCAGAGAAGCACAACATGTTTTAATACAGCCATGATCTACTGGTTACCCTTTTAGTGTATATGTGTGATAAAGGCACCTAAAATCTACAATACAGAGTATTGTTAACTCCATGATGCTGAGCCTTATCCAGCACTGAGCTAAACCTCCAGTCTCTCAGCATATAATATTAACTACAATTTTCCAGCTATACTTTAGAACTCTAGACTTATCCATCCACCCTAAAACCTTGTAGCCTGCAAGACCTATTTCTCCCCATTTCCCCTTTCATGTTGTCCTAGAACATGGGTTCTAGCATTAATATTTATTCAATTTTATTTTCAAGGGTCCACATACAAATAAGAACACAGAGCATTTTTCTTTCTGGGTCTGGCAAATTTCACTTGGCATGATGACCTCTGGGTTTATTACAAACATAAGAATGTCAGTTTTTAAAATTAAAATTTATTTATTTATGTTTTTCAAGACATGGTTTCTCTGTGTAGATTTGGCTGTCCTGAACTTGTTCTGTAGAACAGACTGTCCTGGAACTCAAAAGAGTTCCACCTGCCTCTGCTTCCTAAGTTCTGGGATTAAAAGCGTGTACACTCGGGGAAAAATTAAAATTTATTATTGTTGCTGCGTGCGGGCGTGCGTGCGTGCGTGCGTGCGGGCGTGCGTGCGTGCGTGCGTGCGGGCGTGCGTGCGTGCGTGCGTGCGTGCGTGCGTGTGTGTGTGTGTGTGAATATAGGCATACATGTGGTGGCTTGAGGACAACTTCTGGGAGCTGTTTCTCCTTTTGTCATAGGATCCTGAGACTGCAAATCAGGTTTGCAGAGCGAGCATGTTCAGTTGCTGAGTCATTTGCCTGCTCCAGAATCTGCCTTTTAAATGTAGCACAGTATTTTATTCCATGTTATATGTATATCATACAATTTATCTATTCATCGGTTAATGGACAATCGTTGAATCCTAGTAATATTTTAAACAATTCAAAACTGTAGTTTTCTTCCATCTTTGTTTACACAAAAATAGGATGGATGCTCCTTTAGCACAATCAGTAACTCTTAAAATCTGCAGCTCAGTATCTGATGCTTACTTCAATAATGACAAGCTGAAAATGTTTTCCTGTCTTACTACATTTCAGTTAGTGAGGTAGAGAGCCAGCTCAGCAGTTAAGAGCACACTGCCTTTGCAGACAGACCAGAGCTCAATGCCCAGCACCCATGGTGGACATCCACTGCAACCCTCTAACTCCAGTTCCAGGGCATCCACACTGCCTTCCTCTGGCTTCAGTGGACACCTGCACTCACATGCATGTACCCACATACATAACCACATAATTAAAAAGTTATGTCTTTAAATTTTAGTTACAAGTTCAGAGAGTGTCACATAATGGGCAAATTTAATCCTAGAAAATATTTGTGTTTCCTTAAATTAGGCAAAAAGCCCAAGAAACAAGACTGGTTAACATTGGTGACAACAAGAAAAGTCTAGAAAATCTTGATGGTCATTAATGAGTTCTTTTTAAAATTGGGGAGGGCTGGGCATTGGTGTCCCACGCCTTTAATCCTAGCACGTGGGAGGCAGAGGCAGGTGGATCTCTTTGAGTTCAAGACTAGCCTGGTCTACAAGAACTAGTTCCAGGACAGGCTCCAAAGCTACACAGGGAAACCCTGTCTTGAAAAACCAAAATAATAATAAAATAAAAAAAATAAAATTGGGGAGGAGTTATCCTTTGTCATTTCTTTAAGACTTCAAACAAGATTCTGAACAAGTAATATTGTTGTGATTCTGTTTAATTCTAGAACCACTGACTGTAAATGACATGAAATTATAGGACAATAAACAAATAATGTCCCAACCAAAGATGTCCATGTTCTAATGTGAGAATCTTCTAGTTACCTTACTCAACAAAGGGACCTTTGTAGCAGATGGTTTAAGATTGTTAATGACCTGACCTTAAAACACGGAGAATACTCTGGATAATGAAGGTAAACTCAACATGATCAGAACAGCCCTTAAATGTAGAACTGCTTCGAAGGAGAACAGGCTAGAGTGATTCGATGGGATGAGATAAACAATGAACAAACTGATGGTGAGCCCTGCTATACAGCTTCTAGAATACAGAAAGGCTCACAACAGGAATCTCCCCTGCACTCTCTAAGAGGAAACACACATCTGCCAACACCTGTTCTGCAGTTTACTGAGGTCTGGTTCTGACAAAATAACTATTAAACTGGCACACACACACACACACACACACACACACACACAAACACACTGAACACTGTTTTAAATCTCTAATTTGTATGGTGTTTTGAGTGAGATATCCCTCATAAGTCTCAGGCATTTAAGTACTTGACCCTTAGTTAGTGGCTGTTGAGGAGGATTAGGAGGTACGGCCTTGCTGAAGGAAGTATGTCAGTGGGGTCAGGCATTGTGGTTTCAAAAGACTTGTACCAGTTTGCTCTCTGGTTCTTGCTTCTGGTTTGAGGTGTGAGCTACGGGATTTTCTGGCTCCATGCTTTTATTCCACCATTATAAACACTAACCCTCTGAACCCATAAACCCAATTAAACTCTTTTATAAGTTGCCTTGGTCATGGAATCACAGCAATAAAAAAGTAACAATACAATTTGTTCCATACAGTGATCACAGAAACCTAACAAAGGAATTTTAAAAAACCATCAGAAGTTAATGGTATTTCCTACTATAAGAGTTGTATTTTAGCTGGGTGTTGGTGGCACTCACTTTTAATATCAGGACTCTAGGAGGCAGAGGCAGATGGATCTCTTGAGTCCGAGTTTGAAGTCCGCCTGGTCTACAGAGTAAGTTCTAGACAGTCAGGACTACACAGAAAAACCCTGTCTTGAAAAACAATATAAAAATTTTACATTTTAAAAAACAGATATCCACAAAACTTTACTGACTAATCAAGTTGGTAAGTACTTATTTACATGGTAGGTTAATCTTCACATATCATTAAGGCAATTAGTATTAACTTGGGAATAAAACAGAATACATAAACTCTACTCTCCACAAAATTTAGGACCAGAATTCAAGAGACAAGCATCACTTAACAGTACTATTTCAGTCAGTCAACCATGTAGAATGGAACACTGTAGAAAGATGAAAATAGGTATGTATGGTGATGCTTTACAAAGAGAAGAAAAATGAGTTCTTAATATATTATTTGATATGTTTAACAAAATTAGCATATCATAGGGGAAATGAGTAGCATAACTGTGCTTTTTATTATAATTATTTTGCATTTTTGTGCTCACAAGTCAGTAATTTTATGAGTTTCTACTTGGTTGTAACTCTTTAATAAAATATTTTGATTTCATGCAAGTCAAGGAGTTGGGCTCAAACAATTTACTAAGTTCCTTTGAAATCAAGGCATACTATAAGGAAGATACACACACCCCATATACATTTGCTAATTACTTTGCCAGTGAGGAACCTGCTTGAATTTGGTGTTTGTCTTTGGCATAGCATATATATTTTATAAATACAATTCTTAACTTTCTAAATTTAGAAGGAAAGCAATTTCCTTTTCTTCTGCTTTTCGGGTATTAAGAACCTCAGACAAATCAAAGACCTGAAATATATACTGGAGGCCAAATCAAAGTTAAGAGAAAAGAGTGCTCTGAAAGTCGTATTTTAATCAGACATGAATCAAATGACTACCTTCTGGGAGCTGTTGGCTTAAGAAACTTTTAGGAAATGACAGCTCTCTGAATACAGAACTTCTGTGTTAGACAATTATACTGCTGGTTCATAATTGTGGTTAAAAATCTTTTAGAGCAACAAAAGAATGGTACAGTATCTCATCTTTGAATGTAAAAACATAACTAGTAAGGAAACTACACAGTACTATGTTTTTCAGTAAAGCCATTTCCTTTATTATTTTTTCACCATGATAACAATTTGTTTTCTCTTCCTCCCTCCCTTCTCCCCCACTACCCCATGAGAAAGCTTCTTATGTTCCAAGACAGGCATTAAACTCAATATGTAATTGAGGGTAGCCTTGAATTTCTAATCTTGTCTTCTACTTGCCTGGTTTATGTGCTGCTCGGGACTCAAAGAAGATAGTGTGCATGACAGGCAAGCACTGTAGCGACCAAACTGTGTCCTTAGTTCAGAAGTTCTTTTAACTATCTTAATACAATATGCAAGGAAAACATGTATACTTCATTTTAAGACCAAATGGACTTTCCCACACCGACTGTTTTTAGAAGAGCTACTTAAATGTCACAGTGTGATAAGCCTTTTAAA